AATAATAATAATATGAAGAAATATATAAAAATCTATAAAGAAGAATCAGGACGCAGACTAAAAGAGAGACAGAAACACAAAGTGTGGCTGAGGGTGTGAGACAAAGAGAGTAAAGCTGTCTGACCTGACCCACTTCAAATCCTTTCTGGAGTGAAATCTATTCACTGTGAAATAACAGGACGGGCTGTCCAGACACAACCCACCGGAGGTTGCTGAGACAGCTTCAGATTTGCAGACAGAGAGACACTGGTTGACTTTTATTGTGTCACCTCAGCTTTTGAAGCGTGACTGAGCACTTTTTACCTCCTTCAGAATGGGCACCAAATTAAAGCTGGTCAGCCAAGGCCTTCCTTCTGGCTCACCTGCCAAGGGCTTCCCATTTTAATTTAGAATTTACTCACTCAAACACAAGACGCTTAGGCTGGTAAAACAAAGTGTAGAAACTGCTTTGTGCAGAGCTGCATTTACAGGCAGCCAATCTGACACAAGCCCACTGGAAATAAAAGTGTGTTGTCAGCTTTGGCAAAGTCCTAAAACATGCAAAGACCAAACTCTGAATATAACCAGTGCATTCAAATGTCATTATATTGTCTTTGTACATACTTTTTTGCAGGATCTCTTGCTAACACAGGCTCTCTGTATTCCAACCACAAATCTGTTTAGCACTGATACCCCAGAAAGTGTGATTGCTAAATGTATCTGATATAAAATAGCAGCAGCCACAGCTTTGAATTTCGACAGATTGTGGGTAGCCTCAAAGCTCCCAGAAAATGTCAGCTTCAGTGTATCCGTTTTACACGGACATACTTATAGATATATTTATTATCTAGAAGTGGATGTTCTTTCTGCATTAAGCCTTGGTAAAAACAAATATGACTACTTGCAGCAATGATAGAAAAGCAAATCTGCCCTGTAAAAAGCACATTTTAAATTACTGCCTGTTTAAAACACTGAATCATTCAGAGACCTGCTATATTCAGACAGATATGTACAAGAAGGGACACCAGCTGAAACTGTGGCCCTTTCCTCTGGGTCTGGATAAAAACAACATAATTTATTCAACATGAATGATTTTATACAAGCTCAAAGAATTCAGTTTTGTTGTTTTACATACACGCATGATACATTCAGTACGACACAAACTATACTTTCCAGGAATCATCAGATGCATAGGCAACCGTTGAATTTGATTGATTAGGTGACAGACCCCACCCCATCCCAACCTCCCCTCCCCCAGAGCAACAGCACCGACAGTAGTCTCCTCTACACCAGCCCTGACCTACAGATAATGCAAATAATCTCATATTTACATACATATTAGCTACCAGGATATAGGAGATTCAGACAGCAAATACTGTGCTGCTTTTCATTTCAACAAGTTTAATTTGTAAAATCAAGGTTTGCTAATAAATATAGGCGTTACAGTGTTTCCCTGCAAAATGTGGTAAAAGAAAACAAAGTAACAGTAGTCTTAAACCTAATAATTGTGTTTTAAATAGATTATTTGAGTTGTGGTGATCAGCAAACTGGATTTCATACTCCCATAAATGTGTTTTTACTACTGCATCACATTGTACTACATTATCAGGTATAACCCAACATATGTGCAATGTGGGCCAGAGCACTTCAAAGCTGTAAGTAAAAAGCCCTATTCAAATCAGGAACAAGGTGTCCTCATGTTCTTCTGAGTCAGCTGTGAGCCGACACTTAAGATCCCTCTAATATGGCAGCAAGCTCACAAACATGCATATCATTTTTATTTGTTGATGGTGAGCTCACCACGGAAATCATATTCTGCAGTGCTTGGTTGTAATGAAAACGTGCATACATATGGCTTTTAATAGCACATGTTTAGACTGCACTGTCCATTGCACAGAGGCCACTTTGAAACTTTTTGTAACCTCAAAGAATAAATTGTGTGCACTGTGAAGAGAGTCCCTCTTGCAGCAAAATAAAAGCTTCTTCCAGTGTTCTTAAAGGGTTTCACAAGAGTTAATGAGAAGCTGTCTTGCTGCTAGTTGGATGCGGCCCTGTAGTCTCCATTCCTGCACAGAGCCCATGGTGACCACACGTCTCCCTTCAGCTCACTGCTCCCCCACTGCCTACTCTATAGTCTCAGACAACAAAACAATACTGGAGCCGCAAATCTCCACTGCGCTTTCTCCATGCCCAACCTATTACATTTGAATGCATTTCTCCCTTTGATCACTGTTTTATCTGTAAGTGTCTATAAGTGAGAATATTGCTGTTGGTAAATACTGACCATAAAAGTTTTATATAAGTAAAGAAATAAACACCATAAGGGAAGTCAAGAACAATTGCTTAGTGATGGACACTTGCATCCCCCACTAGCAGCATGCCAGGTTTGGCACAACTACAGCAAGAACCCAGTTTACATAGCAGAGAGAGTACAATACTCGCTTTGTCTCTCAACTCACACAGACCACTCTCTAAGGTCTTGTACAAGTGATGAAATCTTTAATAGAATGGGAGAGATGGAAACCCGTAGCTCTCTTCAACCTGAGATTTATCCCTCGTTTGGCCAAATGTTTAGTTAGTTGAATCTAAGCTTTGGTTTCATGTAATCATTAACAAAGACTAGTACAGATCTTGCTGTGATGAAGTCAGCTCTTTAATGCTGACTGATGTTTGCATTATGTAAAAAAGCGGCATAAAGATTTTAAATGTTGTGACCTTGTTTTAGTCTTGCACGAGTCACAGACAGGGACTGAAACAAGCTGCTGCAGTTAACTACTGATAGGAAGAGCCATGTGACCAAAGTATGAATGGAGGGAGGCTACCTACTGTGCAATTTGCACCTACTGTATGCCTGTACTGTATGGGCGTGTATGTGTGTGTATGTAGTCAAGGTGGCGAAATGCTAACATATAAGAAACAAGACATGAATATTTTTTCCCCTTCTTTTTTTTTTTTTTTTAGAAAGAAAAAAACCCTCAACTTTGAAATGACTTACATGCCTGCTTGTAATTCATGCTTTCACAACACCACCAGCAGCACAGTTCCTGAAACTGATGTTGCTTCAATACCTTTGCTAAGCTTTGCCACACTTTATTCCAACTGTAAACGGTGAAGCAGCAGACATGGGTATAACAGCGACAGTAAACTAAACCTCATCCCATCCATGCATGTCTTTTATAAACAGCTTGACAATGGCATTCTGTCGGTCATCAAGTTTGATGTAACACGGTATCACATGGGTGACTCCTTGTTGAGAAATGCAGGTTAAACCAGAAGGCAGGTTTTTGCCACTGATCGACTGAACTTTGGTAAGATGTACCATGTTCATCTCTTCAGCCAACCACTCTCCCAACTTGGAGAAAGAGTTGCAACTCACACTGATTTAATATACTTCATCTTGATTAACTACAGTACAACACCTAAATATTCAAATACGACACTGTTGTCAACAACCACAGGCCTGCTGAGCTACAGCACTCTGCTTTAAGAGAAACACGTTAGCTGTCTATAAGGTGGCTAAATATAGATGTAGTAGGCCGTGTGGAGTGAGGAGAGTGAGGCTTAATTATTGGCTGACAAGATACCAATAGTGCAGTAAGTGCCTTGCGGCTGGTTAGACAAGAGTTAGTGGGGAGGGGCCACTGACACCTGCACTGGAGCAGGGGTGGGGCCAAGATGAGTGTCACAGAAGTTAAACTGCAACTGCTGTGTTTAACAATGTCACTTTGCCTCGCATTTTTTAATTATAGCCATAAATTTCCAGCTTCAACATGCGGACGACAAATTTGCGTGCAGTTCAAACATAATCACCACTGGCACTAATTACTTTCATAGCCGCAATGAGAGCAGGATTTAAATAAGGTTTGGAGTTTTCTTTTATCATAGTGGGTGTGATTGAAGTTCACTGTTAAACAGCTAATTATACATTGATCTGAAAAAATAAATAAATAAATAAAGTGAAAAATGTTTGTTCTAAACCACCATGAGAAATTAATATTGCTACCAAAGTCTAGTTGGGAAAAATGAAATAAAAAGGAGTTTATCGATAGAAAAGTTCATATACTGACTTGGCTTGTTGTAAATAGATTTTTTTGAAAAGGTCTTTTTTGGTAAGCCTATTGGTTGAGAGACAGTAGAGAGCCTGAAACATATGATCAGGAAAGACATTCTTATACACTCTAGACAACACTTTATTTACAGTGTCCCAAAAGACTGGGGACACTCCTCAAAGACCCATAGAAACCTCTTTAGTAACTTCACTCTACCTGTCCTCAACAGTCTATTGTAACACTGGAAGCAGATGAAGCAGGGTCACCCTAGTTACTGTCCTTCACAATGGGCAGGTGTCTCCCCTGCTGAAGTGCCATTTGGCAAAGACATACTGAACCTCTGGCAGCTCTGTAAATGCTGGTCTACTGCAGCTGACCCCGACCTCTGACCTCACTGGAGAAGGTCAACCAATGGAGGGTGAATTTTCCAGCAAGGATTAATAATAGGGAATACAGATTAGCGGTGTGGAGCAGAGTAATGTTGTTTTAGAAGCATCATCATTTGCATCAGTTGGAGGGTGGTAACGTAAATACTTCCTCAGAGTGGAGTACCAGGGTACAATCGGATCCCACATTAGAAACAGCTAGTCGGGATTTAGCTAACGTTATAGTTTAACGATACATCTTATGATACAGATATCTGGTTATTTAGCATTTAATATAAAATGTCATTCTTGTAAAACTGGGTTAATGGGGCAAGTTTTCTTTAATTAAATTGGTTACCTAACGTAACATAATACCGGACTTACTCATTTCAACGTACAAAGCTGCAACGGCTGCGTTAACGTTACCTAACATTTCATTAATGTAACGTTGGGGCTAAAGGTTTCTAGCTGAAGTTGTAAAGCTAATGTGTTAGCTAGCAGTTAACGTTAGTTAGCTAGTTTGTTGTGGCTGTAATAGGGCTAGCTTCTCCTATGAGTGCACCGACTTAATTCACAGCTGTCAATTATATTAAATTAAAGTGCCCACCTCTATTTTGTCGACATTCCTGGCACAGCCGACAACCCTCATGCCTTGCTGCACGAGTGCCCGGGCTACAGCCGCTCCAATCCCCACCGAGGCTCCGGTCACCAGAGCCACTCTGCCTTTCCACCGCTCCATCTCCCCCGTGCTGTCTACACCGGCACTGTACACGAAACAACAGCTCCTGTACGGTATCCCTGTCTGCTTAGTTCAAGATGTCACAATTCCAGCTCTCAGTTTTTATGTAAGATTAATTCAAAGTGAAGGATGCAGCAGCCCCAGCCTCCTGTCTATCTGTGCAGCATCCAGGACAGCGGCGGGCAGTGTGCCTAAGCCCGGATACATGCGCTCCTCTGGATGAAATATGAAGAGCTGTGGCGTGTGGAAATGTTTGGTTCACATCGCCTCCCACTTTTTTTTTTGAGCCCTGGGACCCGGACTGCTCTCGTGCGTGGTTTTCTACCGCCACCTACTGGAGAAACTACGATAACAGAGTTAGTGTTTCGCATGTTAAAGTGTTGTTCACCTTAACCAAACAATTTGGTCTGGAAATAATCAGTAAATTAAGTAGTTTTGACAGCCATCGGTGTATTCAAAGATACACCCATTACGTTTATACATATAGATTTCACTGTCAGAGACTTTGTTTTTTAACATTTCCACTGAGAACACTGACATTTGCTGAACTCCAGGCACTGTGAAGAGTGGATTTGAGGATTTGTTCCATCATTCATTTACAGCCACTTACACAAAGGATTATGTAACAGATATACGTCTAGTAGACAACCTGATAATCCTATTGGGAAATAATTTCCCAATTCTATCTTCCTATCTATTCCTAACAAAACTTCAAAGCCCACATGCCTGTTTTCATTTGTAAGGACTGTAAATAGTCCCAGATTATGTTAAATTTCAATGAAGCTTTTTATTGAACAGTGTTGTGAACTCAGGCGATGGCTTACCAACACCTGTTGGGTGAATTGGCCCTGTTTGCTCTATATTATGGTATTTGTCATAGTGTTGGATTTCTCCAGAATCACACACCCCACCTTTAAGTCTAATTTGGTCAAGAAAACAACAACAAATGTATAATGCATATTAATAAATATTCTTTATTTAGTAAATTTTGCACATTGCGCTCTTAACATGACACCCAAATCCTCATTACAAATGGATGTTTATTCTCTGTAAAATTTTATATTTAGAATTTCTGTACACATTTAATGGTACAACCTTTCACCACTACACCGAAGTGTCACCAAAGAGGAACAAAACAGAAACTTTTTTTTTTTATTTTTTTTTAAAGACAACATAAAATAAGACTCCTAACATTTATCCCTAAAGTCACAGCTTGCAAAGCTTGATGACTGATTCCACTGTGCTCTTACCCAACGCCCCTACAGAAGACCAACAACAAATAACTAGGCTTGGTCAAAGAGAACAATTACAGGTGAGAAACCGGCCAAAAAATGAGATGGAAAGGTGTGTTGGTGTACAAGTGCAAAAGAGAGAGAGAGAGAGAAAGATGACCAACACATTTACTTTAAAAGGAGAAACAACTGAACAAGACTCCAAATTTATTTCAGAATGAACTTTTCTAAAGATGTTGCAGTAGTGGACCGCTACTAATGGTCATGAGTGTTTTTCCCAGGGGAAGATGTTATTAATGCAGTTAGTTGACACTGGTGGTGGCAAACCACTTTCCACAGACTGGCTTACTGCGCTCAGTGGTGCGGCAGTAGTTGGTGAATTTGTCTTTCAGGAGCTGTCGGTACTTGTGGCGGTTGTTGTAGAAGGACTGGTTTCTTTCTAAAAAGGCCTGGATTTCATCTTGTGTCAGACAATTCTCTTCATCTGAAGTCACTTCTGAATCATCCTGTATTAAAAACACAACCGCAGTGCAGCAGGTTACATAAGATCCATAATCAGACCAGCGTATTAATTCTAACTAAGAAAAAGTGAAGTGTGGTTAAATATAAACAATACAAGTTCTTTATTTTGTTTTAACACTTAAACTATTGACCTTTCATACTGCATAATGGCTCCCCAGCATGGCTTACTGGCAAAGCTAAACAGAAAAGAGCTATCCTTAATGTTATTAGTTATAACGCTGCTTGTCCTATAATATAAAGTCAAATTGTGTCCCATGAGCAAGGATTATTTGAGTATTTTAAATTATATTATAATATTTGCCACTAACCAGAAGTTCCACGAGACTTTTGTTTGCCTCTGCTGGGTTCGCGTGGTGGCTGAGGTTCTTTTGATGTGCGGTCCATGGTAACCGTAGTGCAATGCTGGCAAATGTATCGCCACATAAGGAGGAAATGATTTCTTTGGTTCTGCAGGTGTGCGATGGGGGTGGATTGTGGCCAGTTTTGTTTCCATCTGAAACACAGCCTTCACCTTTTTGTCCCTGCGTAAATGTGCATACTTTTAATTGATACACAGCTTTAGAAACTCTGCATACAACATGGGATTTCTACAGGGTGTGCGCGCTCACCTGATTGTTGCATAAACCCTTGTCCTTCCTTTTCTTCTTTTTACTCTTACATTGAGGGTTTTCCTCAGAGTGTGGCCAGCAGTCCACACAACTGTCCATTCCATCCTCCTCTTTGTCTTCAGCACACTGATGGGCATTCGAGTCATCTCCTGCAAAAGGTAAACCATAGCACACTGAGAAAAAAGACTCACAACACAATACTGTATGTTTAAAATACCCTAAATGGTTCCTGTTGTAAGTTCTCAGCATCTTATAGCTGCTCAAACCGGACCTGCTTCGTCATGGTTGCATATTCCCTCAGAGCAGGCAATATCAGAACCTTCTCGAGATCCCGCCTCACTGCCCTCGATACTGGACGAGTAGCCGCAGTCACTACCATTGCTGTGGGGAGACAAATCTGAAAAAAATATTATTTTTAAAGCTTAGTATTTGTTCAACCAACAATCTTGTTTTGCTAGTGCAGTAACCTCCACAGATACATGTTTAATGGCTTTGATGTCTGCCGTCAATTTTTATTCCAAAATTTTAACTTTTGTTGAATTGTGTGAAACGTTGCGACCTTGCCTTGTGGTCCACATAGAGGATTCAATTAAAATTCACAATCAGTTTGACCTATTGCATGCCGTATTGACCTTTCAGAAAACCAAGCTAATAAATAAAAATGAAGGACACTAGTGAGCAAAGCCGTGCTGATGGAATGATCAGCAACACTGATGCATCCGGGACGCAGTATGTGAAAGTGTTTTGGGTTCCACACTGTAAATGGCAAAATTACCAACTAAGATAAGTCTGTTTGCTGACTTTGTAAAAAAACAAACAAAAAAAACCAGCTGCCTCACTCTACATTAACAACAGATCTGAAGACTCACCTGCTAGCTTGTAACGATGGCAAGATATATAAAAATCGATATGACGTACTGGCATTATTTCAGGCATAGGTTTTTTAGGATAATGACAGAACTGGAGCCAAAGTATAAAATTCCAGGTATAGCCCATATTATACTATAATGGGGGCTTCCGGTATATGGGCAGTGAATTCGTTTGAACTGGACTTTTAAAAAGTTACAGATAAAGCATTTCTACCCTGTTTGGTGTTGTCTGGGCAGCTACAGGAAGTGCTTTCACTGGCGGCGATGCTCTCATCACATCCTGCCTCCTCTTCATCGTGGCTACCACAGCCCTTGCAAGTGCCCTCCACAGACTCAAGAGAACCCTGCAACACACCAGATGGGCCGGTCTTAAAAAAAGGCAAAGATGTGAAGCCGCAGACGAACACAGGCATCTTAAATAACATACATGGGGAGATTCATGTCCCACATCCTCAGTGATAGTGGAGGATTACCTCATCCAGATTTTTCTCTTTGTCCTCTGCCTCCTGTTCTGATATGTCAAAGCCGCACTTGTTTTTGCGTCGATTTTTTCTTTTTTGCCTCTTTTTCTCCTGCTTCAACTCTTTGGCCCTCTCCTCCTCAGACAGCTCCTCGACAAACTGCTCTAGCCGGCTGATTCCCTGCATCTTCTCCACTGCCATCTAAGAGCATGGTAAAAGATACATTATTACAAAAACACGCTTTTATCATCTGTTAAATCACTTTAAAATTATAAATCATACACACACAGGCTTAGAAGTTGTTTACCTCAAAACTTTTGCGTAGTGCATCAATTCCCAAATGGAACAATATCTGCCAGGTCTGCTCCTCTGCTCGTAGCTTCTGCCAGATCCTGTGCAGCCGCTCATAGAGGTGAATACCCAGACAGGTCAGGACTTCTTCTTGTGCAACGTCAATGGTCTTGGCATGTCTCTCTCTGCGTCTGGAAAAAAAAACAAACAAAACATCATCATCAACTTAATGTTTACATACAATACATTGAAAGGAACATGGCCTGATAGAAACTGACTTTATCAACGGTGAAAGTGAGCTCTGTAGTAGTCATTGTTTAAACCTTCACTTACTCATAGCCTCCTGCAAACTCAGGCTCTGCCCGGCCAAGGAGGTGAGCGATGAAGTCGGTCTCACAGCACACATGGATGTGGCGTTCGTGTGGGCAACAGCATAGCCCCTCATATAAGGCAGCGCAATATCCCTTTTCTTTACTGCAGTCCAACTCCCCCACAAGGATGTTGTATGCCCTCAGCACTTTATTTTTACAGTCAGTGCAAAACCTGTGGACAAGAAAGCAATACACAGTTAATCCAGTTCTTTTTAAACCGCTAACACAATGTTTAAGAGAGGTGCAAAACAGCTATTTGGGAATAAAGGCTATGATAGTCACACTTTACCTGTGTTTACGCAAGTACGTCTCCAGTGTCTCTAACAGACAAGCACTATCGATGAGGACCACCTCGTCCCTGCACTCCTGAGACATCAGCTCCCACACGTCCATCCAGCTTCCCCTGAAAGCAAACATACAACTATTTTAGCTATGCCATCACAATGCACAATGATCATGTATTAAACCTGCAGTCACTGATTTTTTTTTGGCTACTTGGGGTAGCAGAAAGCTGTGCACACAACACTGACACACCTTTGAAGCTACTATGGCTTTAAGAAAAACAGTTGTCTTTTTACTCTCTCAGCAGATATGGAAAAACATTAGCATTCATTTAGAATCTTGTTTCTGGCCACCTGGCTAAGTCCAAGTATTTTCGCTTATTTTAGCTCAGGTTTTGGACTCCACCAACTCCTGCGGGAAATATCCAGCATCAGCTGCTAAATGATCCACTATGTTCTCTACACCCAAACAATACCAGCATGTCTGACTGAGGCTGCTTGACAAAAAAACTTTCATCTATTTCCAATGTACACACTGGCTTAAAAACTTGCAACTGCTGCTGCATGTCGCAGCACTGCATGAGAATTTGTAATAAAATGAAGTCTTCAAATATTATAGGAGAATTGTTCAAATGGCAGTATAATTATCCATTTTGGAAGGAAAACATCACTTTTACTAAACCATAATTTAATGAAAAGTCTTTAATATTTATTAAGATCCAACACAAGAAAAGTAACTGTTATCTTCTACCGGTTTTAAAAGTGTCAACAGAGAGCACCATCAGTAATACATGTAGACCATTGTATCTCCATACTGCTGACTTGAGGCTAACTGACTGATTTGGTGGGTATGAAATGATGTGAATCATATGCTATGGCCTTCACAGTCACCACATCTCAACCCAATTGAACACCTATGGGAGATTTTGGACCGACCTCCACCACTATCATCATCAAATGAGGGAATTCTCTTCTGAGCGAATGGTGTTCATTCCTGCCGTAAAGCTCCACAACTTTAGAGTCAATACTGAAGCGCATTGAAGCTGTTCTGGTAGCAAGTGGTGAGCAAACACCTTATTAAGACACATTTTTAACCTTTAATCAGAGCTCAATCCAGTTGAACACCCATTGAAGATTTTGGACCACAGTGGTCATGTGGCTAGGTTATGTCCTCCGTTGAAAGCTGTACACACAAACTGGGGCTTACGTTTGTATACTGCTAAAAAAATAAATAAGGGAACACTTACACTGTATAGCATCATGTCTGTCCAGTTTGGAAGCATAAGCAATTGTGAATCCGTGTCACTTGTTTTGGTGCAAATAAAAGTGACATGTACACTGGAGAGGCAAAAGCAAGACAACCCCCCCAAAGAAAATAGTTTTCCAGGTGGTGGCCACAGACAGTTGCTCTGTCCTATCCTTCCTGACTGTTTTCTAGTTTTGTTAGTGTCCTTGTCACTACCGGTGCCATGAGGAGGTACCTGTAGCCCATTCATGTTGCGCAGGTAGTCCAGCTCCTTAAGGATGGCACATCCATACGTGCCCTTGCAAGGTTTGCAGTGTCTCCCAGCATAGTCTTAAGAGCACGGAGGAGATACCAGGAGACAGGCCGTTACAGGAGGAGAGCCGGACAGGGCCGTAGAAGGGCTTCAAACACAGCAGCAGAACTGGTATCTGCTCCTTTGTGCGAGGAGGAACCAGAGGAGCACTGCCAGAACCTTACAAAATTACCTCCAGCAAGCTATTGGTGTGCATGTATTTGACCAAACTGTCAGAAACAGTCTTGATGAGGGTGACATGCCTGGTGTACTCTAGTGGGATCTCAAAGCCCAGCACCATGCAGCTCAACAGACATTCACCAGAGAACACCAGAATTGGCAGGTCCGCCACTGGCGCCCCGTTCTCTTCACAGATGAGAGCAGGTTCAGACTGAGCACATGTGACAGACGTGAAAAAGTCTGAAGACCCCTTGGTGAACGTTATGCTGCCTGCAACATCCTCCAGCATGACCGGTTTGGCAATGAGTCAGTGATGGTCTGGGGAGACATATCCTCGGAAGGTCGCACAGACCTCTACGAGCTAGCTAACTGTACCTTGACTGTTGTTAGGCACTGGATGAAATCCTCAGAGCCATTGTCAGAACTTACGCTGGTGCAGTACACAGCGAGCAAAACAGAGAGCTTCTGGAGGCTGGAGAAAGAGCTTAACTCCGTCTTTTCTGGCTTGTGTCTCCATGGAAGAAGACACAAACTGTTCAACGGGAAATAAGATGCTACATGTGTCGTGTTCCAGGTAATTCTTAAAACACTCTTAACACTGACATCCTGAATGCTGTTTAGAAGGGAAAAAACAACTGATGGAGCGATGGAAAACACATGAAAATAGTCATATTACTCACCCCAAAGGTTTCGGTTTGTGTGTGTCTAAGGAGTGTAACTGGCAGCGTTTGTTCTTTTTACTTTTTGGAATGGCATCAATCATGTCATTCAACTTTGACCTGTTAAAAACAATAAAAACAGTTACTAAAATATAACAGTGCAAGTTTGCTATTACTGGAAATGAGGAAAAAAAAAAAAAAATAATCAGGTACTAAAGATAACTAAAGTAAAATATACTAAAATACTAACTATGCACATATAAAGTATTTGAAGCCGATTTATTTAAACTCCCTTGTCACAACGTTGTCTCCAAGACAGAGTCTACTAAAGAGGAGAGTGGCAGGTCTCCTACAGAGTACAGGTGCTGGTCATATAATTAGAATATCATCAAAAGTTGATTTATTTCAGTAATTCCATTCAAAAAGTGAAACTTGTATAATGTATACATTCATTCCACACAGACTGATATATTTCAAGTGTTCATTCCTTTTAATTTTGATGATTATAACTGACAACTAATGAAAACCCCAAATTCAGTATCTCAGAAAATTTGAATATTGTGAAAAGCTTCAATATTGAAGACACCTGGTGCCACACTCTAATCAGCTAATTAACTCAAACACCTGCAAAGGCCTTTAAATGGTCAGTCTAGTTCTGTAGGCTACACAATCATGGGGAAGACTGCTGACTTGACAGCTGTCCAAAAGACGACCATTGACACCTTGCACAAGGAGGGCCAGACACAAAAGGTCATTGCTAAAGAGGCTGGCTGTTCACAGAGCTCTGTGTCCAAGCACATTAATAGAGAGGCGAAGGGAAGGAAAAGATGTGGTAGAAAAAAGTGTACAAGCAATAGGGATAACCGCACCCTGGAGAGGATTGTGAAACAAAAGCCATTCAAAAATGTGGGGGAGATTCACAAAGAGTGGACTGCAGCTGGAGTCAGTGCTTCAAGAACCACCACGCACAGACGTATGCAAGACATGGGTTTCAGCTGTCGCATTCCTTGTGTCAAGCCACTCTTGAACAAGACACAGCGTCAGAAGCGTCTCGCCTGGGCTAAAGACAAAAAGGACTGGACTGCTGAGTGGTCCAAAGTTATGTTCACTTCATGCTTCCTGCTGCTGACCAACTTTATGGAGATGCAGATTTCATTTTCCAACAGGACTTGGCACCCGCACACAGTGCCAAAGCTACCAGTACCTGGTTTAAGGACCATGGCATCCCTGTTCTTAATTGGCCAGCAAACTTGCCTGACCTTAACCCTATAGAAAATCTATGGGCTATTGTGAAGAGGAAGATGCGATACGCCAGACCCAGCAATGCAGAAGAGCTGAAGGCCACTATCAGAGCAACCTGGGCTCTCATAACACCTGAGCAGTGCCACAGACTGATGGACTCCATGCCACGCCGCATTGCTGCAGTAATTCAGGCAAAAGGAGCCCCAACTAAGTACTGAGTGTTGTACACACTCATACTTTTTATGTTCATACTTTTCAGTTGGTCAACATTTCTAAAAATCCTGTTTTTGTATTGGTCTTAAGTAATATTCTAATTTTCGGAGATACTGAATTTGGGATTTTCATTAGTTGTCAGTTTTAATCACCACAATTAAATAAATAAACATTTGAAATATATCACAGTATATATGTCTGTGTGTAAGGAATGAATCTAATATCCAAGTTTACTTTTTGAATGGAATTACTGAAATAAATGAACTTTTTGATGATATTCTAATTATATGACCAGCACCCGTACAAGAGAGCAGTATTTCAGCTCGGTATTGTATTATCCTAATGTTGTATTCCAACAAACCCAGAAAACTGTCTTGGTCATGTCACATACTGGAGTTTTGGTTCGCTCTGTTTTTAACTAACAAAATCACTTGTTGGCTTTTCTCTTTTGACATATGGTGTGATCTATTTGGCAGTGAAAATGAAAAACCACATTATTTTGTATCTTACCCATGGACATAGAAGAGGGTGTAGAGCTTCTTTACGTCTGCTGAACAGGTCTTGGTGACAGAGAGCATGCCTGTGGGTTTCAGTGTGAGGGGCTCCAGGGCCGGGTTCCCTGATTCCACTAAATGTGAGAAGAGACGCTCCACGCTTCGTCTGCAGCCCACACATGGCACCAGCTGAGATAATGCACTGTACACCTCTCTGGATGTCACCATCAGGGCGATATTTAAGTCCTGCTGCTTCAATTTGGAGTGATACTAAAGGCCAAGGAATCATACAGGTGTTACCACTTTGTTGACAAGTCCCATGAAGACAAACTACACACTTTTAAACTACTCACCTCAGAAAATTGTTTCCAGTGAGGGGTGTTTATTTCTTGGCTGTCAACATCCATGACACTATCAGAAAATTCCATCACCATCTGACAAGAGGTAATAACAGTTAAGTTAACATAAATTATAGAAAGACTCACTTCAGCCCTGCTGATAATTGTGGTTGGGCCCAACCATCTCTCGTAAAATGTCGTGTTACATGCTTGTTACATGTCTTCTTGGTTGTTTAACTGTATATTGATACTGCAGCAGCACTCAGTGTCTTTGTTTAGCTTTGTAAGCTTTGAGCTTATTAACACAGCAGTTAGGTATGTGGGTAAGTGGGACAATAACCTTTGAGGTGTACAACTAATCTATCATGAGCTGTGGCTTAGGTGTTAGAGCGGGTCGTCTAGTAATCAGAGGGTCGCTGATTTGATTCCTGGCCCCCTGGTTCAGTGTCCTTGGGCAAAATTCTGAACCCTCCTGATGCTGCTCCCGATGGCCGTGCTGATCGGTGTGTGAATGTTTGTATGGGTGAGCTTACTATCATTGTGAGCACTGAATAAATCCAAGTCCATTTACCATAACAAAAAACATGATCACTTTCCATTATCCATGCTGTATCTGCATCATCACAACAAGTTAAGAAAGTCAAACTGGTTGAATACTTTGTGCTGATATCGCATAAAGGGAATCATCTCTCATCCCTACACAGCCACAGAAATGTACTTCTTTGTCTCACCTTAAGCTTTAGTCAAACCACTATAATGTTTGTCCTTTAAACAGGTTGGGACATTTTGATAATGATCATAAATCAGTTAGAGAATTTATGTGGAGGGCTAACATGACTTAATTAGCTGCTTAACACATGTGATCATATAGAATAATGGGAAAGCTTATTTACCGTGAGAGTATCATCGATATACAGGGGAATCTGTCTGGTGAGAAATGGGTAGTCTTCTTCCCCTTCCCTGCAAACTGCGACCAGACGTGCCATGACTTCCTCCAGTTTGGTCCTGGTGCAGCTCGCCTGCAGGTGACACACAAGACACAGACTGACCACATTGGACATCAGCACAGGCTACGCCAAGCTAGTGCTAATCTACTGCAGGTCATTGCGGGCTAACTACTATATTGTCACTACAATACAAGCAAAATACCAGAAACTAAACCACGGTACAAAATGCCAACCATTAGCTGACGTTGACAACACCTGATTCAATGTCACTAAAAGTGTTGAGAATACAAACTGATTCGACTTGACCCAGATTTAACGAGCCAAGTTAGCAAAACAACCTGGGAAACGAGAGCACGGAGGGAGAAAGGCTTTGATGTTTTAGTTTGTAAAAATGTTTTACAGCTGTTTTAGCTGATATTATTTGAGTATGAAGGACAGATTTATTAACATTAACGTCTATCTGCTGGACAGGTTAAAGCAGTAACCGGCGGCTAACCAGTTAACGTTAGCCTGCTAGCTAATTTAATTTGCCAGTAACGTTACGATGTAGTGTCTTCTATGCGCAAAACTGTAAAGCGATTAATATACACGGAAGTTTAACATACCTTACCAAATAATACACATGTAGCAGTGTAGATATAGATTGTCTACGCCCTGTCAATGCCAGCAAACTTGGCTAACTTTAGTTAGCATCGCTGTCCTACAAAGCTAACGTTAGCGAGCTTGGATACGGCTAATATAAAGTTATGTCTGCTGGCAGGCTACTTAGCGACTGTCACTTTCATCAGCGTCTCTTGCTAACGTTTAAAAGATTGATCATAATCTGTCGCCGAGACTAGATAAACGGTCGTTTGTCTGAAACCAATTATAGTTTTTTACTCACCCGCCTTTGTTAAGTTCCCCTTAAAAAATAAACAAGTGCGACGGTGAGTGAAGCTGCTACGGTGGCGGAATCTTCATCACTCAAGTGACCTTTGGCCCCAGCACGTAGTAGCTGACGTTGTAATGCGTGCGGCCTCTAGGGGGCGCATTATGGATATTATCTTATTCATTCAGTAAAGCTGTTGTAAATCCAGTTTGTTTGAAATAAATGAGCTCAAAAGGACTTTTACTTCTTAATTTTTATTTGCTCGTCCCTTTGTATTCATCAGTTTCATATACACAAGTGATCAAGGTAGATTTAATTGTCATATTACAACTGGGCTGTGAAATGAAATGCAGTTTTCAACTCCCTTCTGCTACACAGCAGACAATGTACAGAAAACAACAATCATAAAATGGTTAAATAGACTTTATTGTATAAAGCAGAGCAGAGGATGAATTCGAATGTAAGAGTCTGATAGCTTGGGGTAAAATGCTACTCTGCAGTCCAGTGGTGCGACAACAGATACTTGTATATCTCTTTCCAGATGGCAGCAGGGTGAACAGGCTGGGCTGTTTAATATCCTTTAATATCCTTTAAGGATATGATGGGTACCAATAAATGATGTTGGTTGTTAGGTGCACAGATTGTAATCATAATAAATATGACTGTTGCTTTTAAATCTGAATAATTACATTAAGTATATATGTTGCAGTCACTGAGATGTGAGCAGGATGTAAATTTAAAAATTGTATTTAAATGAAATAAGTAAGGAAGTAACAAACAATAAAAGACAACAGATGTTTACAACACTTAACACCATGTCTGAACACCATTTTATCAAGACCCGTATTTCTTTGCAGAAATAAACACATTATATACAATGGTATCTTTAGCATTACAGATCATCTTGTGACATTACATCTTCCCAGTTAATTGTCCTGAATTTCAATGTCCGTCACTCCGGCCCCACAAAATACACAAATGAACGCTGTACTTTTACAAATGTAATTTTACCAGAATTTTACTGAAATTCCACAAAGATGTAAAACATATATTACAACGCAATTAATGAACATGTACAACAGCAAAACACACACTGATAATAAACTGCTACAAGTAAGTGTGTCCACTATGGAGTTGGTCAATCCTGTCAGGACATTTGCAAGCAAGAAAAATAACAACTGATTCCTGCTGACAGCTTGAACAAGGCAGAGTCTTTCTATTTCACCCGTCTTTCCTGAGTCTGATTTATACAAATGCCATGATGTGGGTACCAAGTGACAGGCGGATGTTCTTTTAGAAAACAGTAATACCATATCAGCTATACCAAGGCAGGACATAAAAAACAAAGACTGAGCAACACTCCAGAGGCAGAAGGGTAAATTAGCCATGCGGCGAGACACTGGCTCCACGAGTGTCTGACAGGTATACAAAGCAGCATACAGGACAAAACTTCCCAAAAAGAGGTTAAAAAGTGCTTTGAGCCACTGTCTAACCTGGGATCTTGGTTGCATCACATAGAGTCCAACCTGAACTCCTGCCATGTAGATGGCTACATAACCCACTACAGAGAATATGCCCTCCTTGTTAGCATGCAGAAAATCTTTTTCTCTGTCACTGTTGTGGATAATGAAAGACTTCAGCCCTGATGTCTCCAGAGTGAGCTGATAAAATCCGCTGATCAGAAGGGCAAAGACCCACGACTGACTCGCTGGTACAACAGCCAGAAGCACAGAAGCCACAACTCTGACGATGGCTAGTGTGAAGAAGAAATTCCAGTGGACGCCATATTCTGTCACATGCTCCTGGTAGTCAGTCATTTTGACACTCACTAGTCTCATCATACCAAGAACAACCAGGGGCCAGACAGCCAGGAGCTGCTTTGTGATATGATTAATCTTGGATCCTGATATGTTCTTCCTCCGTGCCTCTGGGCAGACAAGGGCATTTGCAAAGACATACGCTCCAACTCCAAAGTCCATAACACCTGTCCCATAGGTTTCTGTTTTTGCATATCGCCTTGGGAAGACAGTGAAATCTACTGCGAGAATGCTGATTGCTGTTTTCACATTTACAAACACTCGAAACATAGTCACAAAGGGAACCTGGTCGACCTGAACGTGACTTTGAAGGAAGGTGCTGACAGTGTTCTGTGGGTGCCGAGCCGGATGCCTGTTGACACGGTAGATATAGCAAAACACGGAGGCCGAAACAAAGGCTAGGCTCAGGATGACCTGGTGAAGAACGCTGCTCAGAACGGTGCATGACAGAACGAGGGGAAGAATAAGCACGGTGAAGTCTAGAAGCAGGTGAGAAATCAGTGGCAGTGGCAGCGGAAGAGTCCCTTTGGCCAGATGGAAGAGGATCAGAACCAGGCCTCTGCTGATGATGTTTAGTGGGGCGAGAAATGAGCCCAGTGCCACCTCCTGCAGACTGGTCCCATTGAGATTACGGACAAATGCTTCCTTCAGCTCCCTCTGAGACATGTCCTGCAAACATTAAATTCATGTTTTACTACATGAGAAAAACATGACATGTACTTAGAGACAAATAAATATGAATGTGCTCAACAGACAATGGAAAATAGAGCATTTAGGACACTTTGGTAGCACCCACAGAGAATTTACAGAGATATGGGCACATCTATAAACTGCTGTTCAGGATGAATTTTCACCTTCCCTTTAAACTTTTCCACAAAGTTTCTCTTTAACATTAGCACTCACCATAAATGGAGACTTTTAAATGCTCTATACTAGCACTATTCTGGTCATAGCTATACTATGACCAGAATAGTTGTGTGTCTACTATCAACACTCACCACTTGTACGTGTTTGGCGTAGGACATGCAGATTGACAAAAATACCTTTTTTACAGCATACCTACTGTAAAAGGTACCTACTGTACTGCTAGAAGCCGGGCTACGTTCATTTCCGCATTGGGTCACATGACGCATTCACTAAAACTCGGAATTTTGGCAACTAACCGGGACTGGAGTTTCTAGCACAGATGTTATCAAAGTGGGAGGCAGGCCTCCCCAGGTTGGCTCCAAACAATTTCATGAGAGGCTCAGTGAAACAAAAATTACATTAGTGATTAAATTCATTTAAAAAAAGGAATTGCCTAAATGTGTGTGATTTTCTTAAAGAGATAAAGAGATACATTAGTTTCAGGGAAATTTTACAGTTTTTCCCACATTCCCAGAGATTAATAAATGCCATAGCATCTTTATTATGTATTTGGTGTAGTCTTTGCTGTCAAACAGCAATATTAGGCTATCTTAGCCTAATTCTGTCTCTCTATATGATCATATTTATGATCCCTTAGGCATCCAGGACTGAACTAAGGGAGGGATGCCTTTTTCCAAATTTCGCTGAGGTGCCCAAAGTCTCTGACTTTGAAAACACATGCTCTAGCATATTAAAAACATGTTCAAAAAAGGGTATTAGTAGCCTACTAGTCTTACTGTAAATTTATATTTAATATGACAGTCAAGGAGCTCTGGTTTAGTATCTACTGCAGGCAACTGATAGATAGATAGATAGATAGATAGATAGAGCACAAGAACAAGACAAGAAGATATTTGACAAAATTTTGAAGATACAAGAAATGCTCAAATATATGAGCAGGGGGTATGGTAGTCCTCCCCCAGACAAAATGGAGTACTAGACACTTAATTTTCTGTATTCTGGAGACATATTCTGCTCCAATTTATGGTGGAAATGTCTTAATTTATATAGAGGGAAACAAAACAAAAAATTCAGGTGACAATTTATGAATATAAAAATATAATAGAACATTATGTGGTAATCAGCTGCAATTTTTGGAAAATGCACATTTGTTTTTTTCATTTAAATTACATTGCATGTTTTCTTACTTTGTAAATAAACCTTTCTCAAAAGGATTTTAATTTGTTATCTAACATTTTTACAAATCCTTTTAAAAAATGATGGGGAAAAATGCGATGGGGACATGTCCCCAGCCCGGTGTAAATGAGACAGACAGACAGACAGACAGACAGACAGACAGATAGACAGACAGATAGACAGACAGATAGACAGATAGATAGACAGATAGATAGATAGATAGATAGATAGAGTCTCGATTTTTGGATACACAAAAGGAAAACTAGATATAAATTGTTAAATATAAAGTCGTAATTTAGTGGCAATTAAAAATTTAAGGTATTAAGTGTTTCCTTATTGCATCAAGTATTTGCCTGCTCATGTTGGCCTACTGGTTTTCAGCTAAAGCATGCTTCGTTTAGTTTCGTTCCGTAGCCCATCTGTACAAAACAACACTGTAAACTGCTCTTCAGGATGAATTTTCACCTTCCCTTTGAACTTTCCTACAAAGTATCTCTTTAACGTTAGCACTCGCCATAAATGGAATCTTTTAAATGCTCTTATATATACAACAACCAGGGTAGTTGTATGTCTAGTTATTAATACTCACCACGGTCTGTTCGGCGTAGGTCATGCAGATTCACAGAAATACCTGTTTTCCAGCATACCTATTTACAATTACTTGAAGCAGCACCGGCCCTAACGTTACCTCCTGCGCTCATTTCCGCATTCGGTCACATGACGCATTCATTGCAACTCGGAGTTTTGTCAACTTCCAACCTGAGACCTGGACTGAAGTTTCTAGCATGTTAAAAACACATTCTAAAAAGTTTTAGTACTAACATTACTAAAAGTATATCATTAACGGTCAAAGAGCTCTGGTTTAGTATCGACTTGCAACAGATAGATAAATAGATAGATAGATAGATAGATAGATAGATAGATAGATAGATAGATAGATAGATAGAATTGTTAAATATAAAGTCCTAATTTAGTGGCATTAAAAACGGTCCTAAAATAAGAATAATACCATAAATCTTACCCATATAAATCCCAGTGGTGGACAGCTGGACCCACGAAGGGAAGGGCGGGAATAAGTGTGTGGAGTTTGGGAGGCAGTCGGACAGTTAACAGGCACGGGAAGTTGTCCTTGAGGAATTTCTGAAAGTAATGGAAAATACTGAAGTACAGGACGACCGCTGAGTAGAATAACTAGTCTTAATCCGATTTTAGGCGTAGTTCTGATCAAAGTTTTCCGGCTGATTTTTCGACAGACACGAAGGTAACGGTAAAATCAATGAGTTCTGCGGACAGCCGACGTAATATTGGAGCAGGACGCAGTTATGGAGGGAGAACGGTGAGTTAAGACACGGGAAAGACCCCGTCCACAAGTTATCAGCTGGTGGTTTAGATGTTATCCGTTTTTTTTTTTTTTGGTTTATAAAATAGGTGATGATATATTTAACATTTAACCTGGAGTACCTTTCTATCAAGCTGTGCAAACGCATACCTGTGACTGAACAACGTTACCAACCCAGCGTTTAAGTTGCTTGAGAAAATGTAACGTTGAATTACACACACATCGAGGAACGTGGCTGAATACTGTCAAATGTAGTTGTGCTTAAAGCAGCAGTTATAGTAATAGTCATGGCTTAAACACGATGCTGTAAAGTTGTGTGTCTTATCAGAGGCCAGTATATTACCAACATTCACTAAATTGTCAGATTTTTGGCTGGACTTTGGCATGTAAACAACAGAAAAGGACGAGGGATACTCAAACAGGTGTCACAAAAATCACTTTCTTATATTTTGTTCATTATCTGACGTTACACATGAGATTAGTGCTTATTATAATATAACATACTGCTGTAACATGGAACTTGTAAATCTATGTGTTAGCTATGTCAATTGAATGTAACGTTAACGTTACTGTGTAATCTGTGCTCAGGATATCAGTTGTGTAACATTAGGTATTCAATTCATGACATTAAGACTAATTACATGGTTTAAAATGGCCTTACAGAATGATGGGATGTAGGTTACCTGCTGTTGGATTAATTCTGTCTGCACACATTTAGTACCTCAGACTGTTGACAGTTGTCAGACAGCCTGCAGGTCCAGGCCATGTGATCTTTGCAGGATAAAGCAGACTTCCATTTGTCAGTCTGAATTATACACAGTTAGACAAAATGACCAAAGCGGCTCTGCACAATTTACATTTAGCAATTGGCCATATAGACTATGGGATGTTTTGGGCATCCTAAATGAACCACGGTGTCAATGAAAGTATCATGGTATGGTATACAATGTTGTTTGACTCTCTCAAAGCCAAGAATGAACATGTGAACATTTAATTGCATAGAAATGGAGCATTTTTAGGCACTTCACAGCTTTGGAAAGTTTGACAGATTGTATGGACCCACAGAAAGTTTGACATTTTGATGTACAAAATAAGATCTATTTTGCTGTACTCTTATGAGTGAGGTGTGGAGATAGGAAATGTGCCCTTATACTACATTTCAGTCATCCAAACCTGCTGAAAATGGACATGATCAGACATGACTACATGATAATATCAGCTGAATGGGCGCAGCTGTCTGGTTTCTGACTCATCCTTGGAATTACAAATACAATATGCATAGAAAAATAATCCTCCTCTCCCTGGCTTTTCTGTTATTATCATGCACTTTTCTGTTCCATAATGTTAAAGGAGAACATTTTCTTCTTCTTCTTTTTTCCCCATTGTTTCCACCCATAAATATTTTTTTTACTTGGCATGACTAACAAGGTGTCAGTTCATATTTTAAACACAATGTCCTTTCTGTGTGTTCACCTCACCCCATTCACATAGGCGAAAGGATTCGTCCAGAAAGTCCATTCTCCTCTCCCGTCCTTAAATGATTCATTGGAGGGAGAAATTCGGGCCTTCCTCACTGATGAAGACCTACTCCACACTTATGACGACCTCACAAAAGTCAACCCAGTGACCCCGACAACAGGTAACAGATAGGGCTACGATATGACTGGGGCTAGAGTCTAATCACTTGATGGGGCTTGGTGCTGGTAGTGCCTGCTGTGTTAGGCCTATTTTTTTATGAATCTTAGTTAGTTTCCCATCTAATTTATCTGATCATGGCATAAATATTGAAATCTCTACCACAGCATGTCAGTAAGTGCTGAGTATTTGATTTGTTGCGTAAACCTTGTCTTCATTTACAAATACACATCCAGCGAGACGCAGAGTTTTCTAGCTCGTGTCACCTTGGATTGCTGCATTTGCTTTGTATTATTTAACCACCTCCAGATAAAACTTGCAGGGGAAAAATGTAATGTATGAATGAAGGGAATGATTTGCTTTGCTGGCAGATACACGCCTCCCAAGAAAATGATAATTCTTGAATTCCTTATACATTTGTAATACGATAGGGCCACATAATAAGAAGCGTAATATCTTAAAATGTCTATGCACAATATCTTTTTTATCATCGTCATTTTTATTCTCCGTTGTTTGTCTTAAAATGCAGTGTCATTGGCATTATGTAAGAAAAGATCAGCATGTGTCATTGATACTGTGAACCCTTCAGTTTATATTTCAAGTGCTGTTAGTTTGTAAGAGCTGTAACAGTACAGCTTATTAACAGCAGAGGTCAGGATAACTGCAAGGAATTGCTGTAAGATATTTTCTTGTAAAGCTCTTGGACTGATTGTGCTGCATTTGTTTTATGGTTCATATTATTTTATATAGGCCTGGTCAGATAATTATATTAAAGACATATATGCCATTTTGATGCTGCTGTCTTCTCTGGTTTGCTGTTGTCTGTTGGCTTACCTGTTTTTTTCCGGTAAGTACCTAATGCCAGTTAATATTTTTCTCTGGCAGTGCTGAAATGTCTACAGGCCAGGTACAGTGTGAAGGTTTTTTACACCCATGCTGGCTGCACCTTGGTGGCTCTTAATCCCTTCCAGCCAATCCCAGACCTCTACACTCTGGATGTGATGAAGGAGTATCACAGTGCTGTTCAGCCCCAGGTATTTACAAAGTCACAGCTGGATCTCACTGTAATTCAGCTAACTTGTGTATATTTCTTATACACAAGTTAGAATAGTATATACTTCCAAAATAAATCCTTCAGTTCATCGTCTGCCTCCTTTTAGTCAAAACGGCTTCAAAGTCAAACTCATTAAACTGAACTGGCGGGACTGCCGGCTCTCCCTGACTACCATCTTAATAAGTCTGTATATTTTTGTCAACAGGACTTCAAACCACATATCTTTATTGTGGCGGAAGAGGCCTACAGGAATGTTCAGGGCCAGCTGGAGCCAGTGAACCAATCCTTGGTGGTCAGTGGTGAGAGTGGTGCAGGAAAGGTAAACCAAACACATAGGTGATTCAAACTATCAGTTGCTTTTTTGCTTATAGTGTCACATATCCAACTGTGCAAGCTGGAGTACTGGCCAATATACAGTATATGGACTAAGCTTATTATGCATTTGTAAACTGGCTTGTTTGAAGAATTTTAAGTCTTTGTGTGATTGATGCCCTGACTACTATTTTTTTGTACTGCTCAGTTCAAACCAGTTATTTTGCTGCTCTAAATGCACAAAAACTCAGCTGTCCCATAGGAAGTGATGTGTCTTTTTACATTTTCAGCAGCACTATTGGTTTGGTTTGAACAAACAACGTTTCTGGTTACAGCTTTTGAAATGTGAGATTGTTTTGCTGTTCTCTCATAAAACAGGTTTTAAAATAACTAACTGCTTGGGGTTTTGTGGGCTAGACTAAATAAGCATTTTGAAGAAATCATGCAACATCTGATGGCAATTTGTCATCATTTTCCCCATCTTATAGACTTATTAATAACTAGTTGGTTAATGGGGTGAAAAATAAGAATTATCTGTAAGGAGGATAGCTGGCATAAACAGCATCATCTGAAAATCCAAAGAAAAAGTCTGAGATCTCGTCGCACTGTTTTATTGATAGTTGATCTCTGGGGAAAACACCACTGCAAAGAGGAGGTCCCAAAATAAAAAGAATTACGTGGGTGGAGCTGAAATAATTTGTAAATTGATTAGTCATTGGACACATAATTAGTCTTCAACAATTTTGGGTAATTGATTAAACATGTACAAACACTGTCTGTTCCCTGCTTCTCAACATTTGAGGATTTGCTGCTTTAAATAATGATCATCTTTTGAGTTTTGGTCAACAGTCAATTTGAAGAAGTCACGTTGGGCTGTGATGTACACAAATGTAGTCTAGAGATGACGCAGTAAGGAGAATAATCATCACATTGCAGCCCTTAACGTGGGTGATCTCTGGAAACTGGGTCCCAGGATTAGTAGAAACAATCTTTAGTGGACCACTGATTTTGTTTTTTTATAGACATGGACATCTCGTTGCCTGATGAAATACTACGCTACTGTGGCGGCCTCCTCCTCAGTTGTGAAGAGCCAGGACACCGTGGAGAGGATAGAGCGGAGGGTGCTGGACTCCAACCCCATCATGGAAGCTTTTGGTGAGACGACTAATTGCTGGTGTCTCGTTAGCACACGTGAAAATAATCACTGTAGAGAGTCATTTAGTCAACACTCTACCCTCCATGTAGGCAATGCCTGTACGCTGCGGAACAACAACAGCAGTCGTTTTGGAAAGTATATCCAGCTTCAGCTAGACAGGTACTTACAGCCGAGCCTGCTGCACTTCCTTCATCATTACAGGAGATAGCATCAGCTCACTTTTATTTTTTACAGTAGTGCACGATGTTGGTCAGTTTGATGTCTTTAATATGTTGTTTTTAAATGAAGGTGTCAGCTGTTAGTGGGGGCGTCTGTGCAGACATATTTGCTGGAGAAGACCAGGGTGGCCTGCCAGCCGGCTAATGAGAGAAACTTCCACATCTTTTACCAGGTGAGTTAACAGGGCTGCTCTAAACCTCGTACTCTTATATGGTGTTTTAGTTGAATATGAACACATTCATATGTAATTCTGATGTAAGTGGGGAGAGCATGTTGTTTTTCAGATGCTAAAAGGGGCCACAGATGAGCAGAGGAAGGAGTGGAAGATGCCACCTGGCCAACGTTTTGTGTGGCTGCCAAATACTGAAAAAACAGTTGATGGTTGGTCTTTAATTTTCATGTGTTTTTTTTAGGCTTTTATTTGTCTTTTGTTCTGTACATTTTGTGTCATTCTCACAAGTAACTGCTGCTCATTTAATCATTTCCAGAGGATTGTTTTCATGAGACTGTCGAGGCAATGGTTCATCTGGGCATTCATTCAGAAAGGCAGAGACAGCTATTCAGGGTAAGGTATTCATCATCAGTGACACTTTACTTTAACCGCCTCTATTTAGCATTTATAAAGGAACAGTATATAAACATTTAATAAATAGTTTAGAACTCACTACAGTGTAATTCTATGCAGATATAAGGGCAATTTTTATTATTGTACAGTATTGGTCAACAATTATAACTTCTCCTATGATGACATATTTTATATTATTATAGTCTAATAGTGTTTTACTACATTGTCAATAATCTGGTTATACCCCAGCATCCAGCAGGAGGACTTATATTTGTTGAGAAATACGTTCATAAAGACTTATATATGCTACATTATATTGTGTTATAAATTATTTATTAAATGTGTATATACTGATTATAAATGCTAAATGGGGGGTCAAAGTAAAGTGTTACCTGATCATTAACTTTCAATGTAGTTTTTTGTGCATTTCAAAAAAAATAAAAAATCTTTCTTCCTCTGTAAGGATAGACTGTGATTTCTTGTTGTAATGCATTACAGATATTAGCAGGGATTCTGCAACTGGGGAATGTGAATTTCTCCTCTCCAACAGATGAATCACAACCTTGTAACCTAGATGAACAGTCTAAAGGTATTGGATATGATTATGTTTATATATTTAATCAACTCTTCTCACTCACTTCCAGTTACTGAGTACTTAAAATCTCCTTAAGGTAGACATTCAAGGGATTTATTCTGAAATGTCTCATGCAATAACACAACTACGTATACAGTTTGTACAGTCGTTTACAGCCTTCCTCTCCCGCCGGTGCTTTAGACTTCTTGCAGAGGGCTGCTGAGCTGCTGTGTGTCCCTGCTGAGGAGCTTCAGATGAGTTTAAGAGTGAGGATGTTGAAGGCGGGGAAGCAGAGCGTGCTGAAGCCCTGTTCCCAGGCAGAGTGCAGCATGAGGAGAGACTGCCTGGCCAAGGCCATCTACGCCCAGTAAGAATGTGGATTTCATGATCAAACAACGCTGCGATTTGTCACGACGTGATGATGTTGTGTGAAAAGGGCTGGTGGTGCAGGAGCTGGTTTTGACTCCGTTGTCATCAAACGCTCCTTTCCATCATCACCACCAAATGTGAAACCATCATGCCTTTTTTGTTTGTTTGTACAACAAACTGCAGGGAAGATATGTCTCAATCACTGCTCTCTATCTTTTGAAGTAAGTGTCACTCCCCCCCCTCAACAGATTATTTGAATGGCTGGTTACATTCATCAACAACAGCATATGTGCAGACAAATCCACGTGGTGCAACTTCATAGGTAAAAGCATTTATTGTCTTTTACCCCCCCCCCCCCCCCCCCCCCACAGTACTTTTTATAAACTCACACGGTCCTCTCCTCCATGTGATCTCCAGGAGTTCTAGATGTGTACGGGTTTGAGTGTTTCCACATCAATAACCTGGAGCAGCTGTGCATCAACTACGCCAATGAGAAACTGCAGCAGCACTTTGTGGCTCATTATCTCAGAGCTCAGCAGGTAGCCTCTATCGCTTTTCTGTTTCCATGCAGAGATCTCAGTAGAGCCGTAGCTCCTCTGAGAGAGTCGCTGTCCAGGCCTCAGACATTCAGGAGGCTTCTTCAGCCTTTCAGCAACTTGCTGTACCTTGTGTACTATGAAAAAATGGATTTTGTACTTGTCCTTTTTATGTTTATCTCTGCTTCTCCCAGGAGGAATATGTGTCAGAGGGGTTGCAGTGGTCCTTTGTCAAATACCAAGACAACCAGAGCTGTTTGGATCTTATAGAGGGAAGCCCTGTCAGTGTGTTTTCTATTCTTAATGAGGTATGCTGGTCATTTCATTATTATTTTTAATTATATTTTTATAGACAATATGAAACAATATAAAATATTATGTACACAACCCACACACCCAGAAACAAACAAGCAAACAAAGCACACCAATATTAGCAAAAGAAAACACACAACAAACAAAAATAAATAAATAATAATAGAAATACAAATGAACATACTCGAACAATTCCAGGATTGTTTTTTAACTTCCATTGCCTATTTAGTGAGTTAGTTATGCCCTCTAGAATAAATAGTGCCTTACAAACGGAACAAAAGCCATCTTTTATCCAACAGTATTTGCTTCTGCTTCGTAAATCACCAAGTAGTATTGTTACTCTTACTTAAGGATATAGAATACAAAGCTAACCATCTCTTTATTGACACCCACTAAACCCAATTTGAAAAGCATTTGTCTTTTTGGAAGGATATTGCATAAAGGTTTTGATTGAAAGTGAGTTCTTGTATTAGACCCATAACTAAAAATTCAGCTGTACACCTGTCTCCAAGGAAGGTTATTCAAAACATGTCTTCCCTGTAGAGCTAAAATTCAGGAGGAATTTCATTTAGATCATATTCTTTTTAAAAGAAATTGTAATATGGATTTATCTCTTTATGTTGAAGCCACCTGTAATTTCTTTATTGAAGGACGGGACAACAAGTAATTGTCCTCCAGTCCTTTTTACCCATTGTTTCCCTGCTAAAGGGATTGCATTGTCATTTTCTTATTTAATACATACATTGTAGGGCTGGACAATATGGCCAAAAATGTTATCACAATAAATTGTTTCATAACTTTCGATATCGATAATTATCACAATAAGTATCAAATCGTTATTTCTTTTGAGTTTAAAGGCTGATCTTTCCTCCTGAGTGAAAGTTGAAGAAACCTGATGGTTAATTGTGGTTTTAACTCTTCTTTATAGTCAACACTTGATGCCAAACAGTGGATCACTTCACAAATCTGAGGTAGAACATTCAAAACAATTATGATAAAATCTTAGTTTAGAGTAAAATTAAGTAAAAGCTTTTTTCAGTCCTTTTTCCTCAACAAAATAAATATCTTAATAAAAGAATGAAGTCCTAATTCGTGTATGATTCAAGTGAATAAAATCAAACATTTATTCAATATTTATTGAACATTTTATATTATTGAAAAAAATTACATTGTGATAATTATTGTTATTGTTTTATTGTCCAGCCCTAATACATTGATTTATTAAATATATGTGTCTCTAGTTAGTAGTAGTAAGTAAGTAACTTTTTACATACCTGTCCTGTAGGAGAGTCGTCTCAATCGAGCTTCAGACGCAAAGACATTCAGGGTTCGTTTGCAGAAGGAGCTCTGTGGTAATGCCAACATCAGCTGGGACAAGTTCAGCAAGGAGCCACACTTCGCTGTGGCCCATTACGCCGGCAAAGTCAACTACAGGATAGAGGGGATGGTTGAGAAAAACAAGGTGTGTAAAAAAAGCTTTTAAATATGTGTTTAGAAAGTTGACCACAGATCCATCCACTCATCCCTGACTGGATACATACTGTTTCAGGACCCAGTGCCACCAGAGTTTACCAACCTGCTTCAGAAGTCTGACAACCTCCTGCTTCACCAGATCTTCACTGACAAGGAAACCAAGAACCCAACTACCAAGGGGCTCAGTAAAGTCACAGTGGTCTCCAAGTTCAAGGTGGGAAAAGGCCTTCATGGCCAGGGTTACATTAGCTTGTAGTTAGGTGTAGTTGTGGTACTGAAGTTAATGTCTGATTGTAGAACTCTCTGGAGAGCCTGATGAGGATCCTCCACACCACAACCCCTCACTACACTCGCTGCATCAAACCGAACCCAGACTGCAAGCCGCTGACCTTCAAAAAGGAGGAGGTAGAGGCTCTTCCCACACATTTAATACTGGTCTCTCTTTCAGCAGTACCACAGGGACACCAGTGAGAGGCAGTGCTTTCTATTTTCACAAAAGGGGAGAGGTTTTAATGAATATTTTCCGTCTGCTGCCAGGTTATCGTGCAGTTGGAGGCCTGTGGGATTGTGGAGACTATTCATATTAGTGCTGCTGGCTTTCCAATAAGGTGAGACATTTTTTCTGTTAACTGTTAACGCATTGGTTTGTTTCTCTTGGATTTGGACTGACTCTTAATTTCTATTACACAGAATTCCTTTCCAAAGCTTCATACAACGTTATGGACTGATTGCAAAATATTCAGATTTCAAGTCAGGCAGACATTGTTTTGGTAAGTACAGTTTCTTGCAGGACCCATTTAAGGTAAATTTTTGCTTGTTTACTTTGGACAAAGAGTGATTTTATTTCCTCTCTTTAGGTCTGCTGGTTTATTGTCCTTTTCTTTTATTAGCCCTCTTAGTAAATTAGATCCTCAGTTATCAACTCTCCATGGGACTTTTCCATTTGGTGTATAAAACTGGATTTTCTAACAAACTTTGCAGCGTCTTATGAACTTTCCAGGTAAATGCATGTAGCTCTGCCTATCAGAGCTTGCTTTGCATGCTGTTTCTTGTTTCTCTACTCATTCCTAACATTGTGTGCTTGAACTTATATTCATCTTAACCTACTGTTCAGCTGCTTTTTAGCTATGCTAGCACAATGTGGCTCTATGGATGGCAATGTGTTTTAGGGAAATGTCTCATATACTTATGAATGGGTTGCCATGAAATTCGGAACAGACTTTCATGTTCCCTTCAGGATGAATTGCAGTTACTATGTTGATCCCCTGTAGATTCCTGTAACGCTACAATCAGGTCAAAATTGTACTTTGTCCATTTCTTTGGTTTATAATCAAATAACTGCAAAACAATTACATTTCCATCAGCATCTGCTGTACTTTGTGTTTAGAGCTAATTAGCAAATATTAAACATGAGCATGTCAACATTGTCATTGTTCGCGTATTCGCATGCTGACGTTAGCATTTGGCTTAGTACAGCCTCACAGAGCCACTAGCATGGCTGTAGACTCTTAAGTCTTGTTGCATGAACGTTCAAGGAACCTGCTCACTTATCCTGAATGCTACTATTATCCGGCTTGAAAGAGTCATTGAATTCACAATAATCATATCTGAGTGACATACTGTCACACAAATACTACAATATGTGGTAAATGTGAATCTCTAGACAGTTGGAGTGCTGCGGTGGCCTTACTTGAATTATGTACTACTGCTTCACTTTAAATCCTCTCTGTATTAGATGTGGAGGTTGACAGCATTGATGTTCTTCGGCGAGCAGTGGAGAAGCTCCTCGGTGTCGTGTTACGCAAGGCGTGTGAACCCTCGCACGACCTTGAAAGTGAAAATTCATGGGTGCACTGTGGAAGGACTAAAGTTTTTCTCACCCAGTTGATGGTCAGTCATTGATATACACATACATCCTCAAACATCATTTAAAGTGTATGTATAACTTGGTACAAAAATACCTGGGAAATAATATGCAAATTTCCTACATAATTCCAAGAATTTCTCGGTCATATAGTACTTATTGGGTGTTTCAGTTATTTATAGGCCTGTAAAGCAAATAAGGGCTCTGGTCTTTGGAGTACTGACCTGCCTGGCTGTTGTCTCACAGCTAGATTTGCTGGAGGATCAGAGAAAGAAGATCCTGTCTCAGTGTGCCTTCTCCATTCAGTGCTGCTGGCTGCGATACCAGCGCTGCAGACGCCACGCCCGCCAGCAGTCTGCTACTCTGATCCAAGCAGGTAAACTCTTAATGCCAGGTACTGTTGAGTGGAATCAGTAGAGCCATGTGCCCTTGCTCCCACTGTGAGTGTGCTGGCTTTGACCTGTCTGTCTGGCCAACAGGAACCAGCTGGAAGAGTCTGTACACAGTGTCTCCCGGCTGACTTCGTTTATCTCTTTAGAAGCAGCAGAAGCTGCACATAAGAGCTCATCTGATTAACTGTTAATGACAGACGTACTTTTGATACTTCGTACATAAACATTATATAACAGTACATAAACTTTTCTCTCCACAACGTGCAGATTAAACTTGCAGAGTAAGTGGCTCGATTAGATGTTGATGGTTGAATGTGTTTCATGCCTCCTGCAGCGGTCCGGTCCTGGCTGGTCAGGAGGCAGGTCCAGAGGTGGAACAGGGCAGCTGCAGTCATCCAGAACACCTGGAGAAAGTGGAAGGTGAAATTTGGAAATGAATCACCTCGTATCTTGTGTTTTTTTTCTCTTTTCTCTGTCTTAATGGCTCTGGAACTCTATCCTAGCTTATATCAAAGAACAGGACACATACTGTTTTTAATTAGAGCTCATTACCTTGATTTAAAGAAATGATGATTGGCAGTCATTTATGTCGGCACCAAAAATCAGTTGCTCCTTGCTGTCGTCAGTCTATATGGGCTGTCACCTATTGCTGGAGCCAGTCTGTCCTTAAGTACCTGCTTCACATTTTTTTTTTTTTATGACTTTGCTTTTATTGTGCCAGAGGGACTTATATATTTTATGTACTGTATGTGCTTCTTAAATGTGTGTACTGTATGCTTCTTCTTCGCATGCTTCAATTAGTGCCTAATAATGCAGCAAAATGTAGTCTTATTTAGTGCATCTTTCTTATTTTATTTTATCTTATTGTCTCTTGGCGAATTTCCAGCAGTGTTTATTAATGTTCCCTGCTAAATAAAGGTGGAGTTATGGATGATATGTAAAAACTGTTTTTTGTTTTTGTGGCAGGCACTATTGAAATCCTTAGCTGAGGTAGAACTGGATGATGCAGAGGACCTTGTGGAGGAGGACGTTCCAGCATTGAACCCTGTTATCAGGGCGCGGGGCTCGGTGCAGCTCTCCACCATCCAGGAGCCGGTCACGGTGCGAGGGTGGCCCATGGGGCTGGCTCTCGCCTCGGCCCCATCCATCACCGTGTCTCTGACAGCCACCGGCTTCCAGAAGATGATGTCTGTGATGGCCTCCCTCAACCTGCCCTCCAGGAGAGGGGGGTATAAGGTGGAGACCAACCAGTACACGCAGGGGCTCGCCTCCATACGGGCACAACCCAAGGTTAGCCGCCCAGCCACACAAGTTCTGTTAGATCTCCTATAAAGTTTTTATGATTGGTCATTTGAGATTCACAGTTTCTTTTCAACCCAGGGATCTGTAAAGCTGCACTGTCAGCGATCTCCACTTCTCTACGCTGACAGGAACCCAGACATGAAGACTGACGTGACGGGGTTCAACGAGATCCTGCTAGAGAAAACTCTGTAAGAGTTCCCTCATTGCAGAACATGCTGATTTCACACACAGATGAAGAAAAAGTCTCAATAGAGCTGCTTTTGCAGTGAAGCTGCTGCTCTTCCATAATCTGACACAGAGGGAACAACTTGACATTTTAAGCTGTCATTTTGTTAAATGTGTTTTTATTTAAAGTGAACATTTACAGCTGTAATCAACTTTTTTTTAAGAATACCAAAGTCTATCTCACTGTTAGGCAAGGGTGCAAAAATAATAAATTAATCAAATTCAGAATCTCCGTCAGGAGATTGTCCACATTCACTAACCTGCCACATCTGAGTGGAATGGCAGGTTTGTGGAATATGTGCCATGTGTCCCACATATAGAAAACAATGAATATGATGTCATCATTATGTTATTGTCATTGGAGAAGAGACAAACTGAATAATTGTTTCGTCCCTGTCTGGAGAACTGAAGTGACATGGCACAACCTAAGCACCTTTCTTAAAAGCAGTGGACTGTGGGTTTTTGTCTCATTGTTGCCTCTTTGGAACATGTGTCTGTTGATCAAAGTATTGGGCCTTTGACGAGTGCCTTTCTTAATATCTACCCCTCAAATCACAAATGTGCTGTTAGGATATGTATTTATTTAAGGCTGACTATTTGTGTGATTTCATTATTTATTTTGGGTGTAAAAACAAAATGGTGATTCAGACGCACATATGACGTGCAAATGTAATGTAAAAAGTAATAAAGCACATATTGCACATTAAAACCACACACCTGCTACCGTACAGCAACAAATAACAAGCAGACAACACTTATGTGAAACAGGGAAAGGATGAATCCAGGTTTATTCAAATTGCTGCTCTTTGTTCGATAAAGGGTCTTTTATGATATGCACATTTGCAAAATGTCTGACTAAAAAAACTTTGTGGATTTTAATCTGCTCCAGTCCAAAGCATTAATGCAAGTACTGTAAACCATTACCAAAGAACAAATATTTCATTCATAACTTTTATATTACTTAACACTGACGTTCATCCTCCTAGTTTTTGCTCCAACACATTTATAGTTGATATCTTCTTTTGCTCACTAAATAATTCCTTTTCCATCCAGCTATAGATTCATGGAAATGTGTGAGCCATGGCAGTTTAAAATTTTAAATCTGTATACTCTAATTTGTAAGTGGTACCAAGGGATCAATGTAGAACTTGAATTATTGTATGTTAATATAATTGTTTTGATGAAATAAATGTCAGTGTTAAAGCGTACGTATACATTTTCCTTTTACCTCAAACTTTGTTTACATGTAATCAGCCATTCCACAAGTGACTTTAGTTAACTACACTGCCTTCAGTGTTGATTCAGGAACTGATATTGTTTGAAATCATTTCTAAATTTATTTGAACACAATACATTCTGTAGCATGACAGGGCACCAGGCATGAAGTTAGATCAAAAAAATTACAGTGACTACAAACACGTGCCACAGTGAATTATTTCAAGATATTTTATGTTTTTTTTATAAAAAAAAAAAAAAAAAAAAAAAAAAGGAACCCACCACCCCCTATAAAAATATAGCAAAATACTCCCCAACAGGCACAGTTTTACAAATCATCAGCTTCACTGGATGATTTTGCCTTTTCTACAATTTTCAAACACTGATCTGAAAATTCAACAAACAGTGGCTCCTGCATGGCAGCCTTCATCGCATCATCTTTGCTGTCTGCACTGTCGATGGAGCGTAATAACTGTCTCAGATGGGGGTTGCAAAGAAGATCTCTTAGCTCTTTTGACTGTCCTGTAGAGGAAATGAGGAAAAACATGAATTACCCACATCTGAATGAAAATTAATGTTGTCATTAGTTAATACAAATATCATATAAAAGAAAGAGATTTAGGATTTTCAACTGCTGCACCAACAGCTTTCCCCCCAAGCTATCAGACTTTTAAACTCAAATTCATCCTCAGCACTGCTCCACTGAATACAGTTTATTATTTAATTTCTGTTTACCATTTTTACAATTACTTTTGTATGTATATGGTCTGCTATGTAGCAGAAGGCTACAATTCAATTTCACTTAACAACCTGTTGTATTGTGACAAATAAATCTACCTTGTAATATAAAATACGTTTTAAACGAAGTAACATTGGACATGGAATACTGCTGTGTTGATAAAAACTGAAGCATTAAGAGCAGACCAAAGGTAGTGTTGGATTAATACCTAACAGCTGGAGTCTCTGCAGAGGCACTTTGTCGATGATGTCATTTTCATGCAGAAGATCCTCAACAGTCCAGGGCTCTATAAAGACAGTAAAGCAAAAAGTGCATTTCACAACGATCATCAGATAATGGCTGTGTGTCTAAATAAACAGCTTTGACAAATAAAGGAACAAATTTGTCTCTATCCCCTTTCTACCTGTAATATGAACAGCGAAATGCAAAATTTGGTCAAAAGCTGTCGGACATCAAGCATTAGAGATTATCATAATAGTATTTTTTTTTTATTACCAACCCAGTTTACCCTATAGGTAAACTGAATTCACTGAAATATAAAACCGCATGAGGCAATAAGCACTAAAATGTGAATTTCTGTATGGTTTCTTTGTCCATATTCCCCACCTATTATAATTCACTTCATTTGTGCACTTTCTGCCTGATATGGACACATTTCACAAAGAAATAGAATCACAGGAATAAGAGACACACCATACCAGGGTTGAAAGCATCCTTAGCTTCAGGATCAATAGGTGCAGGCTGCTCAACAGGAAGACAAGTGTCTATGGAAAAATTTTTGAAAGAAAAAATTTCCACTGGGGATAAGTGGATGATCAGCAGCACAATATTTCCTTTGAGTAAAACCACAGCTTGTCTAAACATCACATAACTACATCACTAAAATATTACCTTTATGCCTCTTATAACAGCCAAGTGAACAACTGTAAGAGAAAAAAACAATCCAAATTATAATAATGACCTCTGTGCAATACTGAATCAAGGTAATACACGGTGACATCTGAACATATGAATTAAACAATCAAAATCAATTCATGGTGGATCAGCAGTGCCCTATGGCGTCAAATCGCTTTGACCTACGTGGGTTGCCGTCCCATGTGATGTTGATGTCCAAAATTATTTTCACGTGTGGACATTTACTTATAGACTTAAATTGTATTGTCTGTAAACTGCTCATATTTTTCTCTGTTGTGAATTTATAAGTTACAAGCGTTTCATGTTTAAAAATCTGGGAACCAGGGTCATGTTAAACAAACAGACAAGCTGGTTGCTATGTTAACGTTAGCTATTATATTTTGTCTTCTTTTAAGATAGGTCTTACAAACGTATCTACCAGAACCACAGAAAAGTGTCTTACTTTGTTTTCGACTCTCAGATGAATCTTTAAAATTTGACAAGCAACGTAAAGAAACTAACGTTAATTCAGCCGAAGAAAGTAATCGGAAGCTAACGTTAGTTAACTGGAGGTTAGCTAGCTTGCAGAGTTATTTAAAGTTACTTACTATCTTATTTTGCAGGCTGGACATCTATATTTCGGCGTCTGCTCGCTGCACACACTGCATATCTGCATAATGGCGGTCAAAAATAAATAAAAGACGAATAAATCGGTCAATTTGCTAGCAGCCGAAACATGTGAAGGACAGGACGGGAAGTTCTAGTAGTTCCGGTTGCGCAATCCTTCCTTCAAAATAAAAGCTGGTGAAGTCGCCTACGGTTTGTCCAGTAGTTCATCAACACTAATAATACTAACACTGGTTAAGTATTGGCGACCCTATGGTTCAGCTAAGGTATGCTTAACCTTTTCATACATTATTTATGCAACTTATTGCTACTTAAGCTACTTATAATTATCACTGTTTAGTCTTCATCACCCAGTTAAACACTGGTTTAGGAACCTTGTTTGGATAGGAATATGGTGCTTTTCTAAAATTGAGTGAAACCCCAAATAGCTCTTACCATTGAAAGTGATCATACAACTTAAAATGCACAAATATATAGGTCTAGGTGGCAGGCCATATCCTACGTAAACAGTAGGCCCTCATTCCCCCCCTGAGAAAACATTGGACACAGAGAGGAGGGAAAAATCCATAGAGAGAAGAAAGATTGTTGGGTACATTGATGATGTAAAGAAAAATGGGAGGGATAGATTCCGCAGAAACTGTACAAACACAAAACTGTGATAAGCCAGTTGTATTAAATTGACTAGAAATGGTCAGTTATGAACAATAGAAATAAAACAATCCAAAGTAGTCTAGTTAACATCAGTTTTTATTGGGAGAAAAATACAAAATACAGTATAATATCTTCGGCACCCACAGAAATGACTATATATGTTTATCAAGCACACACCACTGACCTATATAGCTCAAGACACAAGATTCTTGCACAGCTGTAACTTGAGAGTAGCAGGTCTAGTATGGAACGGAGAACCGTTTCGTAACATGATTACGGGACATATTCCCGCTGTCACAGCGCTCCAGATCACTGGGTCAGGGAAGACGGACACTTGGCCATGGTCAACATCAGAAATCCAAGTTGTGTCCGAATCTGTGTGGAAATCAGAATGAAATGGTCATCAAAAATCATATCCTGCAACTAAAGGTTATTTTTATTATCTAATCACCTGCAGATTATTTCCTTAACCCATCATTTGGTCTATACTGTAAGAAAACAATAAACTATGTTCATCATCACGATTTCCCAAAGCCCATGTTGACTTAATCCATTTGTTTGGTTTGTCTGACCAGCAGCCTCAAGGCCAAATATATTCAGTTTACAAGGATACACAACAGGGAAAAACTGGAAATCCTCATATTTGAGAAGCTGCAACCAGTGAATATTTAGCTTTTTTGTTTAAAAATCAATCTAAATGTAAATTGTTGACAATTTCTGTCCATTGACTAATAAATTTATTGTGTCTTTTCCAGCTCTATTTTTGTTTTTACTATGCTGGTCTGAGTTATGAAAAATAATCCAATTTTAAAGCATCAAAATGTCATATTTATTCCAGCAGTGCAAAAAATGGGGGATTGTTTGATTTTATTATGGTACAAACAGAATGGGCGAAAGAAAAACATGTTAAAAGGAAAATGATGATTCATATCAGAGTGACCCAGATTAGAACAAAGCAAACTTGAATTTTCCAGTGTAGATTACAGTGATCCTGCCTGCGATCACAAAAGCAGGCGTTGTTCACCTCTAGTCAACTGCTTGACTAGTCTGCAGGTTCTCCTTGTAAATAGCAGGAGGAAGGTTGTTCTATCGCAAAGGCCGATTGTTGAAAAAATAATAAACAAACCCTATTTTCAGACTGCAGAGGCACACTGTTACCTGTAAACATCGAGGAAAACCATCAAGAGGACGCACTCTTGGTTCTCCTGCGTTTCATTTCGCTGTTGTGAAATTTTTCTGCTATCTTCCTCTCGTGTCCCGCGGGGCAATGGCGGTTTGTGTTCAGCTCGATTTCTCTCTTGGTTCTCCCTTTGCCACAAGCATGACACGAGTATTCACGCAGATTGTAATAGTCATATTGATCGTAATGCGCTTCCTCGAAAGAAACAAATCTCTCCATGTCTGTCGCCATTTGGAAACGGAATGCAGCGGTTTTCACCAGACGAGTCCAGCAGCGAGTAAACAGATGATATCACCCTGTGTTTATATACAAGCAGTCACGTGATCGTGGCTGTGCCACTCGGTACCTCTCACTGAGGAAATGTACACTAAAGCCTGCTTTAATAAATATATAGTTATGGTTATTTGAAATTTTTGCTACTTCTAGTTTTTTATGTTATTTATCTGTGTGTATTTTTCCAACGCATATTCGTGACTCATGAATCTGTTCTTTTTATTTTATTTTTCTGTTTCGTGAATACCCTATATGAACAAGTGAGGTATGCATAGGTGTCGCTTACACTGGGGACATGTCCCCACCACTTTTTGAAATAGCTGATTTTGTCCCCATCACTTTTTGAAAGTATTTGTTAAATGTTTCTGATAAAATGTTTGCATCAAGAAAAGTTAAATAAGAAATGAAAATGCTTTGAGAAAGGTTTATTTGCACAATAAGAAACATGCAATGCAATGTAAATATCTAAGAAACGAATGTGCATTGTCCAAGAAAGTAACTTAAGCTAAAAAAAACAAGTTGCTGATTACTACATTACATTATATTTTTATCCTTTGCATTGTCAAAAACAGTAGTGAATATTTATTCTAATATCCTCTTGATTTGTTCACGTCTCAGGAACAAGTGTATCACTAATCTGAGCCCTTAAATGTTCCAAGTGACACCCTTGGAAGTGTGTATGACAAAATAAACAACATTCATATCAAATCAATGTGTAGCATTAAAATTGTTGTAGTAACAATGTTGCAAACGCGTAATTATTTTTGAGGAAGTACGTTTTGGGGATTTTAGAGTGTGTATCCATTCATTCATTGCGCGCTGTTATGAGTGACCCACAGATGTTTGCTGACATTTTAGATGATTAAAGGTAAGTGTGTCAGCACAGAAGGCCGTGGTCAGAGTGTGTTTACAGTGTTTTATCCCTGCGCACCGCGGCCCGCCCCTCACGGTGTGGCGCGTCCTGACGTTTTTCCACGTCGCAGTTGTGTCAGGCGGCCTCGCTGCGTGTGTGTGCGTGTCTCCAGCTAGGCCAGAGAATGATGGCGGCGCCCGTCCTGAGAGTGTCCACCCCTCGGTGGGAAAGAATAGCTAGGCTTCTTGTTTGCCTGCTGGGCATACTGTTGTCTCTATATGCCTTTCACGTCGAGAGGGAAAAGGCTCGGGATCCGAGTTATAAGGCTATGTGCGACGTCAGCAGCTCCATCAGCTGTTCAAAAGTGTTCAGCTCAAGGTAATTTGAATTCAGCAAAGAGCGCTCAATGAAGCTGCTATTGTGGCAATCTGGGAAGGGCTGCGCGGTTCAAACTGTCAGATGCTCTCAGTTAGCTAACATTTGCCGGCTGCCCGCTACCACAAAGGCTACTGCAAACTATGACTGCTGGAGTGCTTAGAGCTGGCTGCTAGTTAAATAACCTGCCTGAAATAAGTAAACTTTTAGCTCATCATGCAATAAGCACATCATTAGCTATCAAGCTCGATGAAGCTAACTACGCTAACTGTTAGCTAACGCATCCCATTTCTTAACGTAATACTTCTTAGCCAGTTAGCTATCAGCAGAGAGCGTTGCACAGTTATCATCACAGTTATCATCTGAAAGGTTGCTTATTGCTAATGTTGACTGACCGCACTGGATGCTCTCAGAGAACTTGTGTAACGTTACGGGCAACACATCTGACACACCAACTTTAGCACGAAAGTTGACGATAGCTTCGTCAGACTACCGTTATTGTTGTGCTTGTTGTCGCCGGATGAAGCCATTCATTACGCCGACCACAAACTAGGATAGTTGGTGGTTAGCTGGCTAAATGTTGATCAGTTCGGGGTAACGCAACTTTTTAACCTACTAGCTAGCGCTCACTTTAGCTGCCATGCTAATGTCAACGGGTGTCCGTCAGTCCAGGGGGTTAAACCCGACACCCTTGCTACCTAAAGGGACAGAGCACAAAACTGCTCCAGAGGTCAGTGGAGGGGACTGTCCCAGTGTTGGCAACCGTAACGTTTCACTGCTGCTCACCATCACACATTGTTACCAGACAGATCAATTGATAGTCTGCACAGATAAAATCTGCTGCTGCTGGAGTTTTACTGTAGCTGTTTGTAGTTGGGTTTACTCACAAAGATAAGAGATCACACTTGTGTAAAGCCAGTTTTGTGAAGTTGCCATACCAGCTTCACTGCATGCATTCAGCTATTTATTAATCAAGTTAACCCCACCCCACAGACTCCCACATAATGAGATCCTTTGCAGGCCCTGAACAAATGCTGGCAGCAAAACTGGAATGCAAGTTGATATATTACATATTTGTAAGATGAGTGAGCCAATTATCTGCCTAAAATCTAAAACAGGCTGGGAACCATCAGTTGTGACTGAATGTCTTCAGAAATAGTAAAGGTATGACTGAATGAAAGACATAATTTCCATCCAAACGAAGAATCCTAGCGTTTTCCACTTCAGTCTAAACATTGGTTTTAGGCAGTCTAATCTCTAATGCCATCAAGGGCTATAAAGTCATTACCATTTATTTGAATATAGGAACTGCATATTGTATCTGATAAGTTTAATTGCTTGTTTTGTGCATTCCTGAAATGCTTATCTGTTTAAGATAAAGCCTTGAAACATTAGCCAGAATGCCCCCCCCCACCCACCACACACACATTTTGTCAATTCAGTTACTCTGACGCACAATTGGGCATGTGGTTGTGGTAAAGGAGAAGGAATAAAACAAAGGTCTGAGTTACTGAACCAGCCTCTTCTCTCTATGCGCCTGCTGTATAGTAAAAGATGAGACACTTAAACATAATAAGAATATAATAAGGGATATTGAGTTACTGAATAGTGATATACCTGTCTCGTACACACAAGTATGTAAATAGTCCAGTTTGCATTCATGTGTTTTTGAAAATGCTGGAACTTGCTCATTGATTTATTGGAAGTCTTTTTTTTTTTAAATAAAAAGTCATATGGCAGTAGTACCTGAGTAAGCACTACAGAGCAGAAAGACAGTTTCAGGCCATGTGATAAAGAGTTATATGTTTACTGAACTGAAGTGAAATGACTGTTTTGACACTAAGCGAAATGACTGCACATCTGTCTTATCTTTTAGTGTGCAGGATGTTGTGGTTTTCTTTAGAAAAAGATTACCACAAATAGAAACGTAACAAGATATTAGAACACTTCACCTCGGACTCAAAAAAAACTGTGATGTTTTATGATTTTGTTTCATGTTGCTGACAAACAATTAATCGAGGAAGTAATCAGCAGATTCGTTGATAATGAAAATAATCGTTTGTTGCAGCTCTAGTTCACTGAACACTTTTCTGTAAATTATAATTCGCCAGTCTTAAAACAATATTGTGCTAAACGACCTGGGTCTGAATGTGGTACACAGTTATTTAAATCTGATTTCCGCTCATTTAGTTCGACTCGTTGGGTTTTCATTTTCCTCAGCTGTGATCCAGTTTGTTGAGTTTGCGGCAGTTTTCTTCTGTACTCAGTAATAAAGTCGTAACTGCCTTCTTTGCTGATGTGTTTGTGTGCTTTAGGTGGGGTAGAGGATTTGGACTCTTGGGCTCCATTTTTGGAAATGACAGTGCACTGAACCAACCCAACAGTGTGTACGGCATTGGCTTTTATGCCTTTCAGCTTCTACTGGGTAAGATGTTGTTTTATTCAGGGGGATCTGCCAGTATTGCAAATTCAGGTGACTAGGCTCCCCGGCAATTGCATTAGCAACTAGTGCTGACTCAACACATTGCCTTCCTCTGTCATGGCTATATTTGACTAAATCTGACTCGCATGACACTGACATCATATTTAGTGGCCATTTATACTTTATGAGTATATTGTTAAACAGGAGGCTCATACTTTTTGAAGCTCATCCTCCTGAACTTTTTGGACTTAATTCTAACTAATTTCTACTAAGACTGCAGAGATAACATACTAGTGTAGTAACAGTATGAATAAACATGTTGATCGAAGGGTCCTTATTGCTGTTCTACAGATAGTGGCTTCGTTCTTTATAGTTTGATTCTCGTTAATGCTGTTTGTCCTAGTCTGATTGCGACACTGACAGTTCAGCGTGATCATACATATTTCTCCTCATGTGGCTTGTTTTAACTTGAAGTTGCCCCCCCCCTCCGGTTACCGTCACATTCTCCTCCACAGTACATTGATGATGTTGCCGACTCAGTCATGCTGGTTTGACATGTTCGCCTGCCGAGTGGCCTGAGGCCCGCCTGGCCACCTGGCACTGGCACAGAACAAGAGGTCCTTTTAGCCACAGCGGTTACCACTCATTTGACTAACACAATAGCAGCCCAGTTAAGCCAAACTGCCACAGAGGTCATGATTTCCATATTAAAGGCAAGATCACTCACTTTCTGAACATTCATTATTCTCATGACCTTGGTGGACTGTCCCAATATTTCTGAGTAGGCATGACTCAAGAATCTGTACAACTAAGGTTTTAATCTGTGATTAATGCCAGTGTACAGCATGGGACTACTTTTAAAAGGGACTTCACTTTAGACTGACGTGTTCTTATCCACTTGAATTTAATGCTATAGTTGTTCCCTTTCTCATTATAGTTGTCCTTTATTGTGATTGAATTTTATGAAGAGAACAGGGGTGGGTAATATGGATAAAGTCCTCTATAATGCTATATGTTATTTTGTATCACAATATGGAAAAAATATTGTGATGTTGTACATTTTCTGGAAAATGAATTGAGAAACTTTTAATGCACTGAACAAAATTATAAACACATCACTTTTGTTTTTGCCCCAATTCATCATGAGCTGAACTCAAAGATCTAACTATCTCACTAACACAGATTTTGACAGATTTGTGAACAATATTTGAGAGAAATACCTTTTGTGTACATAGAGAGAGTCTTAGATCTTTGAGTTCAGCTCATGATGAATGGGGGCAAAACAAAAAGTGTTGCGTTTATAATTTTGTTCCTTTCCCGGGCTGCCACAACTTTATAAATGTATAGTATTTGATGTTACCACCTGTATGACAGTGGTGGAAGAAGTTCTCAGATGTTTCACTGAAGTAAAATTAGCAATGCCACATTGTAAAAATACTTTTTACAGTTTAAAGTCCTGGAGTCAAAATCTTACAGAAGTAAAAGTAGTCATTATGCAGAATACAGAGTAAACGTATTTTCCACCACTGGACTCACTGAACTGTGAGTCATCACAGGCCTCAGACAATCTGTGTGACTCGAGCACATGCAGACAAACCAGAAACTGTTCAGCTGGGTATTTTTCCAGGAAGAGAAACATTTCAGCTTAGGTGTTGCACAGCCAACCTTTTCGGAAGAATGGATAAATCCGAATGAAAGGGAAGACCTGCCTTATGACGGGGTACGCAAGATAATCTTTGTAGACTAAAAGAATCGTCATCTGTTGATTAGCAGTAATTGTTACAAACCTAAGGAAATATCACAAGCTTAGACACTTAGAGAAAATATGACTGCACCTCATGTGACAGTACAGTAATGTGACCAGTGTTTAAGCTGAATGACATCACAAGGATACCGATAGCATAAATAGAAAACGGTCTTGAGACTGAAAGCTCTGAGAAAAGAGCAAGAGGCTCTTCAGGTTGTTTGTGTGTTCCAAGGTTGTGTCTTTTATGGTCATTTGCCTAAGCTTTAGTTTTTGTTTCTTGCCATAGGAATGACTGTCAGTGCAATGGCCGCCCTTATTCTCATGACGACATCCATCTTGTCTGTGGTGGGTTCGCTCTACCTGGGCTACATCCTCTACTTTGTCCTAAAGGACTTCTGCTTCATCTGCATCACCACATATGCGCTGAACTTCATTCTCTTTATTCTCAACTACAAGCGACTGGTTTACTTGAATGAGGCCTGGAAGCAGCAGCTCCAGGCTAAGCAGGACTAAGCTGTTGAGAGCGGCAAGGAAAATATGACAAACAAACGACAACAAAAAAAAAAGAAATGTGACCTCTGAACATTTGACTTGCCACCAGGAGACCTTGCTTCCAAACAATGTTTATTCTGCTGTGTGTTCAAAAAAAAAAAAGAAAAAAAGAAGAAATTTAACTTAAATGTTGGGCCTGACATCTCGATGTTGCAACCACAGAAGGATCTGTAAGTGAAAGATTTTCTTTTTAATTTTTTTTTTTCCTTGTTTGACATTGTACTCACTTAAGGAAGGGGCTGGCTGTGTGAGTGTGTATGGGGGGAAACGCATCAACCCACGCACGCAGAGGCACAACGCCACAATACAGAACGATGGAGGACAGCTCTCTTTTGAACAAAACGGATCGCAGAATGGAAGAAAAACAGGACATTACAGGGGTTTACTTGAAATGGTTAGAAAGGTCCTATTACTGCACAGCAGATCTGCACTATAACTCATAACCGAATGATGGGTCCCAAAATTAGAAAAACACTCATTAGGTTATTGTAAAGTTTGCAGATAAGGTTCTATGGCATGGTGGGAGGGGGAGAGGGGGTGCAAATGATTAACATTTATACAGACTAGTTTTTTTTTTTTCATGTTTACACTTTGTAGTATGTTTCTTTTTAAAGAGGACCACTAATAATAAACACAGGACAATGTGAGATATTGTGTGTAGATCAGTCAGATTGTTTTTGTTTTTGCAATTCTGTAAATAGCTGCTGAGCAATATTCCAGGCTAGATTGTGATTTAGTGTTGACACAAACCTTTTAAGGAAAAACAAACAAAAAAACACCAACAAAACCGGAGAAGACATCAGTAAATGTGGAACAAAAAGTGATCGAGGTCACATCCGGGTGGATGAGTCTGAAGATGGGCTTGGGACATCTCCCATCCTGTGAATCCTGGTCAGGCATGCAGTTCAGAGTTGTGTGGATTTCTTTGTTGCAAGTGGTTAATGTTTCATCTGAAGCCACCGACACGAGTCTATAGGATACCTTCACTAAGTTTGCATAAAGGCACTCTCTTGTTTTGGTTATTGTGTGAAAAGCATTCCTGACCACCACACAAGTGGGATCCATAAAGACTTATGTGCCTAAAGGAGTGTTAAGTTGAATTAACTTTTTTTTTTGGGTAACTGTTGGGGGGGGGGGTAATGTCATGTTAACACCAGTTTTGCTCATTGTTTTATTGTCAGAGGTCCAAGGCTTTATTTTTATGATCACACTTTTGTAAATTAAGATACCAGTGAAGTGTTTCTCCCTCCCTAAAAGAGTCTCATGAGGTAGCAAAGGCTGCTGCACTGTGATTGTCTGTGAGTGTGAGTGGCCTGGTGGCAGAAGCATCTCTTATCTTGCTGGTTCAGTCGCGTAAACGACGCTCATCTGGCTTCTGTTCACTGTTGAGCCTGTAAACATTTCATGTCAATTGAACAGTAACGGCGATCTTGCCAAGCTGAGTTACACTTCAGTTTGCAGGATGTCAACAAAAGATGGGAAATGTCGTGCTTTGTTGACATGAGTGGCAGAAGCGCAACAAGGTGCAAGATTCTGTAAGAAAACACAACAGTATGTTAAGCCATATGTGGAGTTTGTGGGATTTTTGCTCCAGAAGGAAAGAAATGCAGGTCGCTGAACTAAGACGAACAGCTGCAGACACTGGAGCTCTTCGTGAAGTGGTTGATCTAACCTAGCAAGGTTTGTAAAGAGTGAGAGAGATCACAGTATGGGAAAAGAAACCACAGCTTGTTGTGACTGTGCTAGAAATCCACAGTTTTGTCAGTTCAGTTCAACACAGAGCAGGACCATTGTCTCTTTTCCATCCAGAATCTACTAAAGTACCCTTCTTGTCAGACGCATGGCACACTATCTCCTGGCTTTAAGCATATGTTGGCCATCGGACAATCTTACCCACAATGTCAGAGATGTAGAACAGTCGTTGTAATAAACTGTAATAATGTGATTCATCTGTGGTGTCAAACCAGCTTGTTAATAGTTTCCATCACTGCTAGTCTCCATGCACTTTCATGTTAAATGGAATTCAAGTTCTCCTTGACAGTTTTTGTGTAGGGTGAGGGGTTTTTAAAGTATTGATGAAAAGCAGCCAGGAAAGAAGACATCCTTTTTGTAATAACATGAAGCCATCGGTTGTGTATAAAAATGACAATTGAGATACTTTTCCCCCCTCCGCCAAGACATTGTTGAAGTGAAATTGTTGTCTGTTCATGCATGTTATAACCACTTTACTAGGCTGTGTTACGTCACTGTTACGCATTTTCCAAAGTATAACATGTGTTGTATATTTGGAATAGTTTACCCTATGTTCCAGGCAGTTTCCATTCATTTCACTATGGGGTGATACAGACTTTAAGACACACATCCATCACTTGATCTTCACAGTGAAGATAATATACATGCTCACTATGTCAATATTTGTCCTTTGGTTTGAGGAACAACAGTATAATTGGTTAATGTGATGCAATTTGGCAGCCTACTAGGCACATCTAGACTTCAGTTTCACTCCGATGGATATCCTAACTTATAACACTATTCCACTGATTTACCTACAGCATTTTATTAATTGATGCAGCAAAACCAGAGGCATCGTCTTTATTATTTCATGCATTCTTCTTTGTCAAAATCTGGCACCTACATTACCCACAATGCAACTCGACTGCCAACAGTTCAGTTGGAGACGGGTGTGTCATGCTAATGTAGCCTCGAGTCTCAAGCAGAGATGAATCTGGTGAGCTCACTTAAAGTGAGAAAAATCTGGGCGTTAACACATGCAGTAGTTCTCCCAAACACCTTTAAATAGACTCCTTGATGTGTAAAATCAGGGGAGGTCCCCTTTTAAGTAAATTTCCAATCTTTGCCAGTAGATTGTCATGCGGAAAAGAATGGGAACGAATGGCTGCCTGGAGGAGAGACACTATGGTTTGCTTTGGAAAATAATTGGCAGTTCTGTTGGTGTGATTGGTAGTAAACTGGCAGAAACATGCGAGCACCAGTGCGGTCGGTTTAACAAACTGTATGGTAGAATGATTTCAATGTTTGCATCATTCCTTAGCATGTCATCTTTAAGATCTTCTACAGTATTGCCTTGTCACACTTACATCAGGTTCATTTTCATCTCAGCTCAGAATGAGATGAACAACCATTTTTCTAGGAAAGCCTGTGTACTTACATATAAGACAAATCTATGGATTCACTTACACAAGTTCAAACTTTAGTTAGAGAAGTCAAACCGACTTAACTTGCAACAACTATTGGTCTGACAACTGATAAGTGTACAGTGGGTAGCCTATTATAACGTTCATGATTCCTGTCATATGCAAGCCTATTACACTAGTTGTGTGCAGTTACTTTAAAGAAATGGGTGAGGAGTTTGAATGTTGAGTGAAAAGTTTGAAATCACTGGCCAGTATAAAAGGATCACCATGTTGTGTGATGATTTTAATGTATAAAGGAGGACAAAATGATGGATACCGCAATCTCATGAATATTCATTTAGGCCCTGAGGTATAACTGCCATCTTAGTTGCATCACCAATGCCAACAAAAGTGCCTTCTGTTTGATCACTAGGCCTTGAGCCAAAGACGAGCAACAGTAATAGCCTTGTAAAATGAAGAGTGGTAACTGTAACAGGCACATCTGCTTGCCTTCCTTAACATAATCTGATAAATTGGTAATTCCCAAAGATTTGATATCCAGTATCAGTGTAAAAATCCATTCAGAAATTGCCAGACAAAACACCCTGTCAAATCAATGGCCATTCCTTTTTTCCTTCCTTACCTCCATTATATAATTATCATCTTAATTATGTCTAGCTAGAACATGTTTGTTAGCTAAGAATACACTCTGTTTAAACTACATGATTGTAATGTTCTCTCCATGATTAATTATGCCCTTTAGCCGTGTAGACTGTTAACATTCTGGGTTATTTTAGTTTTTAAAAAGTCGAGGGGTTGGAGGGCTAGGAATCCATGTGTCAGCATCAAATGTTTATTACATTTCTTTGTGGAGGAAAACTTAACTGGGTTTGCTTCTGTATTGCCAAATATGTTTTAAAATGCTGTATTTTCTTACATGGAAAAGTGTTACATGAATGGTAGGAGGGTGCAAAAATCTTCTGTTTAAATCCAGCTTACCTTAAGGGAAAACTGTGGAAAAGGTTGACATGAGAACATTTTTTAATTGTGTCATTGTCATGTGGAAATGATCTACCATTAAAACATTCCCTCTGAAACTACCTGCCACTGGAATTTATTCATCTATTAAGGATTTTTAGTACTTAATTTCCTCATTGGTGTTACTGTCCCTCAGTTGCAGCTCAGCCAGGAAATACCATCTGGGGAAGTGCAAGGTGAGAATTCTGTACAAAAAAGACTGACCTTGGAAGATGCCAACTTGATTTTATCAACGTACACTGCTGAAGCCCCATATTCACTTTGATGGGCAACAAAATCCACAGTGCCCCGGTCTGTGCAAAAATGTTATTGTAACAATTGGAAGCATGTTAGGAAGAGATCTTATAGTGAATCTCTCCTTTTTAACAGCGGTTTCAATTTTTGGGCCGATTTCCAAGTTGTTAAAATAACTACATTTTTTAAAGCTATTAAGTATTGCACTTCATAAAATAGGGGTACTAGCAAGAGAAAGAAGGAAAAGAAAAAAAAAAAAAACATCCTATAGTTTCCATAATGCGAATTAGTGTTGTAGGACTCGACCGCATTTGTACTCGGTCTAGAACATTGAGGACTCGGGATTTTATTTCAAGACCAGAACTTTGGGAATATCAAATTGCTTTTGCATTGTCTGATTTATTTGCCAACATCCTAACTCTGATTGGATGTAAGACGCATTGCTTCAAATGTAACAAATAACGCTTATTAAAAATGTGTTGTTACCATTAACGACCGTCTCCCCTCCCCGCGATGGTCAGCATGGAAAAGTAGTGTTGAATAAAGATGTTTAAGTTGATTTCAGCTCTTAGTGTTTGTATGTGGGTGTTTCGGGGGTCAATTTTAGAAGTACCTATGATCTCATACCACATTTTATTGTGTGTCATATAATGTGGGGAACTGGTCTTAATCTTGACTTGGTCTCAGGTTGGGCGGTTTTGGCTACAACACTAATGCAAATTCATAGTGTTTTTAAAAATCTCCAGAGCAATCTCCTCGTGATAATAGAGTGAACTTCATGTGATAAATTGGTGGAGTGCCCATTCTAAGAAAAGATCCCCCCCCTTCAAAACATTAAAAAGGTAGCTTATGTTACTTTTTACACCGAACTTTGTATGGCATGATAAAAATCAGTATTTGAACTTATACAGTATCTTTCCAGTTGCTGAGTCAACGGTGTCTAAACTTCGAGGGTCGAATGCGGATCAGTCATATCTGGCTGATACACATGTCTGTTTAATAAGGTCGGTATCAGTGTTGATACAGATTCAGTTTATTGGATTAGTTTAAATGCTTCAAGGAAGCAGTTTAAAGAGTAGTGTGTGTTTAATGACACCAGTTGTGCAACAGTTAACAGCAACTACAGCTGGATCAGATCCAAAAGAGCATTACAAATACTAAAGCAGAGTCTAAATATACCAGCTGTAACACAAAGGTCAATCGTGTGATGAGGGTACAGGCACTGATAGTGAGACGTCTGACTAAAGTCACGCCACCATCTACAATCAACACATCACTTAACCCTTTAGGTGGTGACTTATGAGCACTGCACGAAGACTGCAAAGCCCACTTCAATGTGCTCTACAAAACGTCAAAAGTCATGTTGAAAATTTTGGGAATGATTGGAGGAAAAAAATTTTTGCAGGTTTTGTCTTTAATACATGGATTCATAGCAAAATGATTTGTTCTTGATTTTCATATATAAAAATAAAACACTTGAAATTAGAGTCAGCATTGTAATTCACATTAAGAACATTTTTCTTTAAAATGTCAGATTGATTGCACAATGACTCAACACAGCTGTTTCAAACTACTAAAATACTATTTTATGCACTTATTTTAGAAAATGTGACCTAAAGTCTGTATCAGAATATCCTGTAACAGCTAAAGTAGTATTTACACCTTCCCCTCAGTCAATTGTGTCATTGTAGGAGGCACTAGAGGGTAATTTTTAAATGTTCTGAAAGTGTTGTAAAACCCCCCAGACAATAGTGTCAGTGGTTTCGTCATAATTGCAGAAAACAGTTATAACATTGCTGAATTGTTTTTCGACCTTATGTATACTGAAAGTAATGGTTCAAAGGAATTGACCCCTTGCTAAGCCACAAAAGTAAGGAACAGTAAGGAAAGTGCCCCAGGAACAGCTTTGACCAAATCTTGGGGGAAAAAAAAAAAAAAAAAAACACAGCAAAACACATCTTACATACAAGTCAATGGAGCGCAGCCATGAAACTGTCGGACCTCAGTTAGAGTGAGTCCTATACTGCGCTGTGATTGGCCAGTTGCATATTCGGGGTGTGGCTTACCAAAGGGTCAGTTCTATATGTGCTTCAGGAAACTGCCTCTAGAATCAACAGAATTTCACTTTTCCACAAGACAGTGTTTACATGCCTGTAGCCTGTTCTGGCCAGGGTGCACCCTGTAACGGGTGTCAGAATGAGCACGGGTACTTTGTCCAAGGAGGTAGTGTGCCGGTTTCATTGGCCAGTCGCCAATACCTCTCCTTCAGGATGAATGCTGCTGCTTTAGGCTGCCTTTGCCTGGTGAAAACGCCCTTCTTGTTCCCCACCACACGGAATATCCCTGCAGACGCAAGAGGGATCAACAAGAACTGAGTCATGCACAGGGCACAAAAACACAGGAGCCATTTGTCAGGTCAATATGCAGGTTATTATTTTTTTTATTAAAAGTCATTACTAGAGCTGCTGCCCTTGGAAAGCCATCCACTGGCGCCTCTGGGAATTGAGCTCTTCATTATACAAAATTATATTTTTATTATTTTAAATGTAAATTATTTTTATTCAGTGTCACTCAACTCTGGTCCGTGTCATGTTGCCGCCACCACCACCTGTCAGCTAGTAATTATACTTGTATGCACTATAGTCCCTGTTAGGACATCCTACACAGCGGTGTTAGCAAAATAAGCAGCCAGAAGGTTATATATATAGTGTCCCTATACAGTCCACCTGTAGGCTCCTCTCAGCACAGGGTGTTCAGTGCCAGCAGTGTTTTTTTTTTTTTTAAACGATGTAATGCGTGCATCGGACTTCAGTGTCACAGACTTTTATAAGTAGGTGTCTGAAGTTAATTACGAAACATTTTGGCATCTTCTCTGGCGCTTTGCTAGCTGGTAGCTCTCTAGGTAACCGCATAGCTCGCCTTTACCTAAAAATGTAGGCTGTAGTCAAAAATCAGAATTTACTCAGCATACTAACAGGAGCAGCGGATAAACAGGGAGGTTACACAAGTTGTGGTGATGTGCAGCTGCAGTACCTTGTACAGTCATGAAGTCAGCAAAGTTCCAGATGAGTTCACCAATGACATACTGCTTCCTCTTCTGGTCGAACACGCTGTGGTAGTTCTGCAGAAGTACCTTCTGGTACTCCTCAGTGAACATCACGGGTGGATCCTGGAGAGTGAAAAGACAACTTCTTACCCCTGACATTAACATGTTTCTGGGAAAATGCAGACATAGGGAGGCTGAGGTTTAGCAAAATCAGAAATTTATCTCAGCCTCAGGACGCAAAAAAATAAATAAAATAAAAACGTGCTGGTGCACTAAAGTCAGGTAATGTCATGTACTGCATGTGTGTGTGAATCCTCACATTGTGAAGCCCGGGCACAGCATCTGCTCCATATTCACTCTGGATGATGGGTTTCTGGTACTTTCCATACCAGTTTTCAAACTCAGTGTTGAGCTGGATGGAGATGACCTCCAAGTGGCCTGGATCATGGTACCAGGAGAAGTAACTGTTTACACAGATTACATCCACATAGGGAGCCTAGGGACAAGATAAAGACAATATGACTTGGATACTCTTTCCTTCAGTTAATCACAATGTGATCGGTTTTATGAACATAAATTACAAGGAAATGATCATAAACCCTTTTTTTAGATTCATTTAATTCATTCATAAAAATCAAGCAAGACATTTTATAATAGGAGGCAATTGTATTTTATGAGGCAAATTACGAACCATTATAAGTGAATGTTGGAGTCGTATTTACCATCTTTTCCAGTATTAGGAACTATGGGGTAGCAGAATTGAAAACTGAATTCAGAAGTACTTTATTCACCCAGGCAGAGGCCTTTACGAAATTTGTTGCTGCAGGTCGTCAATAACTACACCCTGACCTCACAGCACAGAAATGTTCATTATGAGCCATGTCAACCACTTAGTTTGACACTAGGCCAACAAGAGTTTCAGAATACAAACAGATGAACTTCTGAGGATTTTTGCTCAGGCACTTTATCAGGTCCATACAAAAAAAAAAAAAGAAAAAAGAAAATGCCATTATGTTAATATACAAGAATCAGGGGTCTTGCAGCACAAAAGTTTCCCCCACAAATAAAATCTACCCATCTACAGTCCCCTCCAAAAGTATTAGAACGGTAAGGTATATTCCTTTGTTTTTGTTGTTCACTGAAGACAATTTGGTAGAAGATCAAAAGGAGTATGAGACAAGAGTTCAGAATTTCAGCTCTCATTTCCTGGTATTCACATCTAGATGTGTTAAACAACTTAGGACACGTCACTGACAAAATCTGATCCAATCACTAACACACAAACTAAATTAGGGGGAAAATTGGTGTGATCAAGCATATGTTAAAATTAACTTTAAGTGTTTTGCTGCTCTTTCTTGGTTGGAAGTTTCAAGTCCGTTTCACCTCTGATCACAGCCAGCATCAGTGATGGGTGGGATTGGGTGTGGCTAGTAGTGTGCTCTGTTGCACTTGTAACCCAACAGTGATGTCACTGTGTACTGACACACCCTGGAGTAGCCGACACATCACTGCAGCAAGGTGAGAGGTTGGCAAAAACAGATTTTCAGTGGGTGTTAAGTTACTCTTCAAATAACACAATATAAACTTAATACTTCTAGTGCAAAAAATATAAACTTGCATAAACATGACAAATAATCAATGTGGTGTTCATTTTGGCATATTGTTGATATACCTCTTAAACCCTAGTCCTATCCCCAGGAAGAAAAGCCTGAAATAGCAAACCCAAAATGAAATCAGGTATATATGCGTATTTCTGATCTGGTTTGATAGGTCAGAAGCTAA